AACAACAGGGAAGGAGCGACGCTCTAGAATGTTCAAGATTCAATATATAGGCAAGAGTGATTTTTAGAAAAGAGGTTCCTATTGAAGAGTGGCGCAATACTTGATGAGGAACGGATGAGAAGGAACGGTGTAGAAAAATAAAACAGGGCATATCTGTCAAGGAGACAAATGGTGAAGGAAGGGGACGATTGTGACACGTTTGCTTGTGTTCAATGAGTTTGTTGTTGTTGTTGTTGTTGTTATTGATGTTGTGGACAATTATGCGCATTTTCAAATCCATTTTTTTGTCTTTCTCTTGCATTGCATCGCATTCCTATGATGGATGTGGTAAGAATACAAAGAAATAAGGGGACCCTATTCGAAGGAATAGAAGGGAGAAAGGGTACACCTGTGGCCGCGTTTGTGTGTTGCTTGTAACTCCTAGTGACATGTCGTTCTAAGGCACAGCCATCGCTGGTGAGGGCATGTGTACATACGGCAGGATGAGTACATGGAGTAGATATGCATGGATAAGTAAAGGTCCCTGGGGAAAGAGACGTGTGTGTGAGCAAAATAGAGAGATTTACACTGTGACTATGCCACGTTTTTTCGTGTCTGTTGATGGACGACGCGTCGAGAATAAGTGACCAATCAGACACCGGGGAAATCAGAGTGAGTGAAAGAAGTGAGCTTGTCATGAATAAGAGATGGCGAGAACGATGTTAGGTACGCAAGTGAGATTATTTGAAGGTTCGATGGTCTGGGCGGGGGGTGACAAGCGAATAGCAGTTCGAGAGATGTGGGTCGATGACTCCTTTGCAATGCGAAAAGGATATGTCGTTCCTTTGAAAGCATTGGCCATGGGATTGTGCCTTGATATGGTAGGGAGTGCACAGTCAGGCCCTTGAGCAAGTTGTAAGAGCGTGTATTTTTGCAGTGTGTGCCACCAATTTTTTTTTGATATGGCGCAAAAAAAGAAGACAAATCGATCGCATGCGCTGCAGAAGACGAAGCCCATCATCAGCCGATACACTTACCTTGCTACTGCTGGCTTGTTGATACATAAGCCCTTTACTCCATCATCGTTCCTTTTTCTCACACCTCACACAGCTCCTTATTTCTCGTTCTCTTCTCTCCTTCTCCATCATTACTCGTCGTCATAGATTCCGGATCTCCTTTTTCTTCTTCCCCTTTTTCGCTGCTCTCTCTCTCTCTCTCTCTCTCTCTCTCTCTCTCTCTCTCTCTCTCTCTCTCACCGCTACGCACCCACCGCCCCGCCACCAGCTTTTTTTGTCTCCTGTTGTTCTGTCTCCATTCCAACGGAACAACATTCACACTTCTCTCTTACTCTCCTCTTCACTCTTTCGTATACCAGTCAGCGCCTACTCTCTTACACTTTGCCAACTAGCCCTTCGCCTTCTTCCTGTTCGGGTGAACACGACTGACTTGACTCCGTGGTAGCTCTTCTTCCCTTTCCTTCCTTACCCCTCTCTCCCCTTTGGGGCTCACTCACTCACTCACTCCACTCACTCCTTCCCAAGCAAAAAACACATATATCCAGCCTGGGCCTCCCTTGTACTCATAGCTGAACATCACCCTTTTTTTTTTTTTTTTTTTTTCATTCTTCGTCCTCACTCTCTGCCTCTCACTTGACCACAGCATTTTTTCCTTTTCTCTTCGTTCCTTTCACTAACCAACAAGAACAACAAACACACTCTGCAACGAACGTCGCACCCTTTTCAGCCCTCGAAAACAACAACCTCTTCTATTCAAGTAACCAAGCAACAACAAGCAGGCACGGAAAACAAGGCATATAGCCACGGGACACAAAACACACATACACCTCTATCTAGTAGTGCACCAAAACCCACACAGCACAACAAACAACTCACAAGAGGAAACACAAATCGACGATAAAATGGACCCTCACACTGCACCAGAAGACGGTGGAGGATCCGGCGCAGAGTTACCCTCGATTGCTGTCTGGTCCGCTGGCTTCTTTGCCTTCAGCGCCACTCTGATATCTTTGGTCGCCATCTGGATGCAACTCAAGAACTACCGCAAGCCTGTAAGTCTCTTGAAGAGCCTTGCTTATTATATTTCTTTTGAAAGGGTGGGTGGGTGGGGAGGAAAAGGGTGAAGGGGATGAATAGGCAGGAAAGCAACAGTGACAACAAGCTCTGATGACCACCCCTACCACTCACGCGAGCACACACCCCAACCATTTTGTTACTGTGATTGTTTGTTTGCGCAACCTCCCTTGCCTTTTTCCCGTTCCTCTTTCTCTCTTGCTCATTTCCATTTTATTTTCGTGCCTGTTTTGCCAACTGTTTATGCACTCATGCGCATTCTCATTTTGCGTTGGGTAGGCCTCGCATAGCACTAATTTTTTTTTCCTTTTCCTCGTTTGCCCTCATGCAACCAATAGTTACTTCAACGTTCCGTTGTCAGGATCTTGTGGATGTAAGTCAGCATACACCAACAATAGGCGCATGTTGTTTATCAATAAGCACAGATCCAGGATCACGACCATACGAACAAAGGAACCGGATACAAATGGCACATTGGAATTTACCTATTTCTTTACCTTCATTTTTGTGTGGCAGGGTCCCAATCTTTGCGATATCATCGTGGATCTCGCTGGTCTCTCTAGACATGGCCTTCTACGTGGACGCCTTCCGTGACATTTACGAGGTACGTCTCACCGCCAAGCCCTTCTTTTCCTGTTCCCTCGTTTGCATGTCCATGATTCATATGGCTCATGCTGACAGAAACCAGACGCATTCCCCCCTCGCCACAACCAACATGTACTCTTCATTTGTGTGTGTGTCTTGGCATTTTTTTATTATTCCTGCCAATCAATGAAGTCGACCGCAGTTCTCTTAATTTTTCCTGCATGGCTGATAATCCTCTTTACTTGGGTGTTATGCTGACTAAATCTGGTTAGGCCTTTGTGATCTACTGCTTCTTCAGTTTGCTGGTGTGCTATCTGGGCGGAGAACGCTCCCTGCTGGTCATGTTGCACGGACGCCCTTACACCAGGCATGTCTGGCCCGTCAGTATGTGGTCAAAGGAGATGGACGTAAGTTGCCTCTAGTTACAGCTTGACTGACTCGCATTTCATAGTGGAAAACTTGGTCAAGATTCCTGGCTTACACTTCATTCACCTCTGACACGACCTCCCGCCATCCCCTGTCACTTTTTTTTTTTCAAATAGGTGGGCGACCCATACACGTTTCTGTTCATCAAGAGAGGCATTCTGCAGTATGTCTACGTCAAGCCCGTCCTTGCGGCGGTTACCATGTTGCTCAAATCCAATGGTGCCTACAATGACGGATCAATCTCGTTGAGTTCAGGATACTTTTGGGTCTCGTTCGTTTACAATCTCAGCGTCTGTCTTAGTCTCTACTGCCTCGGCATGTTCTTCATGGCCACCCAGGGCGACCTTGAGGAGTTCCGGTAAGCATCTCACCTCCTTTCAATTTCAATTTCAATTTGCACCTTGTGATTTTCGTTACTCATTTGAGACCGCAACAAAGAACTGACTGTGAGACTTCAATGCATGTGAAATAGACCGATCCCAAAGTTCCTGTGCGTGAAGGCGGTTATTTTCTTTTCGTTCTGGCAAGGATTCGCAATCTCGGTGCTGATTGCTATGGGCGTCATGAGTAACACGACACCCGACACTGCAGTGGCGATTCAGGATTTCTTGATTTGCTTCGAGATGGTCTTTGCCTCTGTTGGACATTGGTACGCCTTCTCGCACAAGGATTACACGGAACTAGATATCCACTCTGCCAGAATGCCAATCTATTATGCCACCAGAGATGCAAGCGGGATCAAGGATATCATCCAGGATTCGCTGGAAACCCTCAAGGGCACTCGGTTCACATACAGGACCTTTGAGCCTTCGGAGGGTGTTGCTACGGTCGGAATGAGTCGGTCTGGCAGAATCATGGCTGGTTTGAGATACACTGGTGGTGGGACTTCGAAATACTGGTTGCCCGATGCCAACAAGATTGGAGCCTCTGGAAATGGCAGCATATCTGGCGTAGAAGGATTAGGAGGACTGGCGACCAATATGTCGGAGCATCAGCGACCAGAGCACCTACGGAACCCTAATTCCTATAGCCAACAAGTTCTGGGCAGCAGTTATCAGGATCGGGCACCAAGTCTTTACTTTGCAGATGTGGATGAGCACGATGATGATGGGGTGGAGGAGCTGTATGATGCGTCGAAACAGTTGGAGTTTGGCGATTACAATTTCCCGGCGATTGATGTCTATGACCCCAAGCGATCCAAGGAGAGCGACCGGCGGAAAATGGCTAGGAAGAACAAGAAGAAGGCAAGACAGTATGATGAGGGGTCGTCGTTGTTGAGGGCTGAGAGCGGGTTTGCTGGCGATGAAGCGAGGCCGTTGATGACTGAGTCTTCGAATGGAGGAGCTACGTTTGGCAAATCTGGATGGGATCATCAGGCATCACGGCATTCTCAGCAGCAACAGCAGCAGGATTCGTACCACGTTGGGCGAGCAGGAGCTGGGCGGGATAAGGAGTCCTCTTCATCTTCAGGGCAGCAGGTTGCCTCGCGGGAAGGTTGTATCGACAACGTCAATGGATATGTCCCGGACAAGAAGAAGAAGAAGAAGGGAGGAGCCTCACACACACCCGTCAGCACTCATGGTCACGGGCATCAGCAGCAGTATCAGCAACAGGCAGCAGCACCGACGACGACGCAGAACCATCTTGGGAGTGGGTATGATACCTATGGTTATGGGTACCAGTCCTACCAGACGGATTCGTCGGCGAGTCAGTGGGGCGGCGGATATAACCAGGGTCAGGGTAGCAATGGCCAGCAGCAGCAGCCCTCTCCTGAGGAAGAACATCGCGGACCCATGTTCTTTTTCTTGTAACAACACTTTCTTTTTCATTCTTCAGTGCGATATCAGAGTATGGAAAAATAAACAACATTCCAAAAAGGGCTTATCACGATTCGTTATTCTTTTATTCCCATGGATCATGCTATGGGTCGTGACTGTCATGGTGCACATTCGTCTCATCCTCCAATAGAAATCCGGTTGTACAGCGTTCAATCCCTATCTTTGCTTCGTTTTTTACACGACGACCAGGTCCTACAAACCACATCGAGTCGTCCTCGGTAACATTCTTGCTATTCAGTGACCATTGCCGCCAGTTAGTCCATCCCTCTCGCATATTCTCATCCCATGTCGACAAGTTGTCTTCTTTGCCCTCACGGCTTGAACCATTTCCTAGAGCCCAAATAACTTCCTCCTTTCTCCTCTCTTCATGGTCGTCATCAAAGAAAGACCAACCGGGTTTCCCACCGCACTGCCTCAACAGTTTGCCATTGCTTGGGTCAAGGTCAATGGCGTCCTCGATGTCGACGTTTACGGGAAAGAGCCGGCCAGTATTGGAACCCCAAACCAACTCGATACGGACAATCTTCTCAACACTCACCACTCTCCAAACGCAGATGGAGCCATCCGAACACCCAGTTGCAAACTGCAAGTGGTCCTCCTTCGGATTCCAGGCGATACTCTCAACCCTCCCAAACAGCCCTTGAACCATTGCCATCCAAGAATGACATTCCGCCATGCCTATGCACTGGAGATCCCAGAGACGGATCGACTTGTCGCCGCTGCCAGCTGCAATCCATCGACCGCACGGCGAGTAAGAGACACAGTAGATTTGGTCGGTTCCTCCAAAGAGTGCACCCTGTGGCGTTTCAGACGACGTGTTCCATAGGTAGATCGAGCCGCGTATGGTACCAATGGCCAACTGCTCTCCTCTTGGTGAGTAGGTCAATGTCTTGACGATTCCTGGCCCCAAGTAAGCGGTCTCCCAAGGAGGTGCCTCTAACCGTAATGTCGTGAGTGGTTCCATTGTTTGCCGATTAAACGTGCGAATGAACCTTGTACTAGCCGTCGTAAATTGATTGCCTGTGGGTGAGAATACCAGGTCATCAAGGCTGCGATTGCTCAGTAGGTGAGCGATACGACGCTCGCCGGTGTGAGAATCCCATAGCCTCACAAATCCGTCCTGACCCGCAAATGCGATCCACCGGCCGCATGGTGACAAGGCCAGGCAGTCTACAAATGCAGTGAGCTCCCTCAAGGCAGGCCCTGGTTGGCAGGTTCGAAAGTTCCAGAGTTGAACGACTCCATCGTCAGATCCTGTTGCGAACATCGTGGCGCCGGGCGAAAATGCAATAGAGGTAATCCGAAGAGCGTTATTGCGTTGCTCCATTTGAGGAACACCCTTCAGTGCATCCCACTGACTCACAACTCCCTTTGTGTTGACTGTGAAAATCTGCTGGCCATCGGGAGTGTAGGTTACGATCGGAGCAGTGCCAGAGACATCCTCCGAGTCAAGGGGTATTGCTCCGCTCTTCTTGACGTCCCATAATCGCACAATGTGGTCTCTATCTCCGGAAGCAATCTGTAGACCATCTGGAGAAAAGGAAAGGCCCGTGATACCGCCGGTGTGACCAGGGAAAACGGAAACGAAGGCACCAGTCAAGACGTCCCACAGTCTCACGGTGCTGTCTTCGCCCGAGGAGGCAAGAAGGAGATTATTCGGTGAGAATGCGGTTCTTGTTACGATTCCTGTGTGGCCGCACAGAACTAACCCAGGCTCTCCGGTGGTCGCATCCCAGAGCTGAATATTGCCTTGCAAATGACCAGTCCCGATCCATAGTCCATCAGAAGAGTACGCCAAGCACATTACCTCCCCATGAAGAGCAGCTCTAACAGCGACTTGCTCTCCTAACAGTGCATCCCAGAACCGAATCGTCCCATCCAAGCTCCCTGACACAACCAGTCGTCCATCAGGTGAGTACACGACCGCCTCGATTTCCTTAGTATGACCCATCAAAGTAAAAAGGATCGTCCCGTTCTCCGCATCCCACAGCCGCGTCTCCAAATAACCGGCCGACGCGAATCGTTTACCGCAAGGTGAAAACGCCATCGACCTTAAATGCCGAGTGTGACCCTGCATGTACGATAACACCCTGCCGCTGGCGCAATCCCATAGTCGCGCAGTGCTGTCCCTGTTCCCGGTGACAAACTGGCGACTGTCGGGTGAAAACGCAAGGCAAAACGTGTCGGTCGCCACCTTGATGTGTTGAGTACTTGTCCAGGTAATGGTGTCGTAAATACTTATGCTTCCATCTTCCAGGGCCAGCGCGAGGTATTTCCCGTCAGATGAGTAGGTGCAGGCATTGACACCGCAGGTTGCCTTCAAATAGGGAAGCTCTCCGAACCGAACCCCTTCCATCCGTGCCTGACCAAAATCCGCCTGTCTCAGCCAAGTCCTCGCAAGATTGACTTCCCTCAAGTCAGCGCCTTGAAACTGACCACAATCAAACTGGCCGCCGGAGAGATCGGCCCCAGGGATGCGGATACCTCGGAGATCTGCGCCATTAAATCGCACTCTAGCTCGAACCAGGATCGTAATGGCGTTAGCGGCGGCGGTGGTGGCACTGGTCTTCGTTTTGGACATCTCCACGACTGCTCGGAGTTGCTTCTCAAAGGTTGGGCTCTGCTTGACGCGCTCGCACAGGAACTGGATGATGGAGGGCTCGTTGAGGAGACTACGGGTGAACAAGGGGCCATTGTGGTCGAGTGACTGCACGTCAGAGAGGCTGTTGTGCGGTTTCGGACCAAAATCATCGTCGTTTTTGTGAGTGTCGGGATCGAAAATATTACGGGAGAAGAAATATTCCTGTACGGATCGATGGATAAACTGGTAAAGACTACCGGTGCGAGTCAATGGGCTCGACTCTCGCAAGAATATGACCTCGGGATCGAACCCAAAGAAGTCAGCTTTCCATGTATTCTTATGGCTTAGATGGATATACTGAACCACTGGATTGCCATCATGCTTGTCAAAGATCGCCAGGGCCAGCTTCTTAGAGTAGCCAACGCCGAGTAAGACAAATCCCGTTTCGGTCATGTGCTTCAGAGTCTGACGCTCCATGTTACTCAATGCGTTGCCCTCAAGCCGCAGCAGGTTGACTCTGAGCCATTCATTCACAAAGTAGTCGTAAAGTTGAACGCGCGTGATTCTGATGTTCGAAAGCTCATGCTGGTCCTTGCTTGGCCCAAGTCGATGCACAGATATGACACCTTATCAGTTTCGTCGGGGGCGCAGCCAAGGAGGCGCTCGACATCAGCCGTGGTCTTGAACACGTTGCGCACTTCCGTCAAAAAATCGCTCGTGCCCGCGGTGGTGGTAAGCAGACGATTCGGTAGTACATCGTTCCTGTAGCGCTTGAACTTGACCGAGTTCAACTCTCGAACTTTGTATGCAAGGAGCTGCAACTGGTGTCCATCCGTCTTTATGGATCCGCACAGAAAATAACCCTTTTCCTGGTAGGCCCGGGGATCGAAACCGTCGCCGCGAAGGGTGTTGAGATGGGCACGCAATTCCTCAGGCTCGACAACCCTGACAGCTGCTGCGATACCGGCCTCCTTCTTCTGTCGCCCACACAGACGATCGCCATCAGGGGTCCTTGGGTCGACGGGGGCAATGAGGCGCTGGATCAGCACGCCTGGTGTTTGAAACGGCAGCCAGTCCTTGATCACGTCCGCCTGCGCCAGTCGCCGCTCGTCCTTGCAGCCGATGAGCTTCTTGAGGATGGGGTGCAGCTCGTCCCGCTTGTGCAAAAAGGCCGCCAGCTCGATCTCGGTGAATGTCATGTATCCATTCTCCTCGGATGACAGGGGCGAAAGACGCCAAGGCCGGCCGGCTGTGGCATTTGCTCGCACAAAAAGCTGGATTGCTGGCATCTTTGCTGTCAAATCTACAGCTTTATCGCTCGCCAACTTTTCCTTTTTAATCATCGTTTGAACCTATGGCAACACACATAAAACGAGCGATCGAGTTAGAATTTGTCATCTACACAGGTGACAAGAACGAGAAATAATAAATGAAAAAGATGGTGAGTTACCTTTTCCGAAACCATTTTAGCTCCGTGTTTGTAGTGCCTCTTCAGCTCAGCCGACAGCTGCGATGCGACCGATCGAACCACGTAATTCGGCGTGTACTCCTTGACACTCTTGAGTACATCCGCTTTGGCCACCTGTGACTTTTCCAGATGCCCCATCTCTTGCAGACGAGCGATGAAGCTGTTGACGGCTGACCCGGTCCTGCTCTTTTTAGGCAAGTTACCCGAGTACAGGAAGGTGAGGAATGTGTGGATGAAGGGCGTATTGGATCCATCGTCTTGACCGTCCCCAGCAGAGCTGACATTGTTATTGTCGTTGCCCATTTCATTGGACGAGAGCCGAGGGCACAGGTTGTCAAGAATAGCTTGGTCTTCCTGGCTGATTTTGGCCACAGGCGCTGAAGGTCGAGGGGCACCAGGTCTAGATGGAGGATAGAAGAGGTCCTCCAGATACAGACCAATGAGCATCTGGCATTCCCGCTTAGAGTCGCACGCCACCCGGACTGCACCGCGGATGCACTCGACGATGACCTTGGCGAGTGGGTCGTTCTCGACAGCGACGTGGACATTGCTGGATAGGCGATCAAGGTCCAGAGTGACTATTGGGTGCTCGAACCACAAGGCACTCATAATCTCCTTGCGTCCAAAGCGGTTGTCCTCGCTGATCTCGGTCTTGATAGCCGCAACAGGCCTCTTCTCTGAAGGTTCTGGCAGACTTGGCTTCTCCGGTGGCTCCTTCCAAGGCTTGAGTATGTACTGCATCGAAATGGCTGGTACTGGTTGCTCCTTGGACGGCTCAAATCGGACTTTGGAACTGAAGCGGGGTCGATACTGGTGGGCATTGGCAGGATGCTGTTTGTCGATAGTGGCGAACGGATTCACTGTCTTGGTCTCCGCTTCTGGTTTCGATTGAGCATCACGTGCAGCCCTATTGAGAAAAGTAGAGCTAGATGAGCGTGGTGCTGAAAGAAATTCATTCAATCATTCTCCCCTGTCAGTTGCAATCGTGGCCTGTTAAAAGAGAGGTGGGATGTTTAATACCTTTTGGCGACCCGGGCCTCGTACGCGTTTGTGTTGAAGACAGCAAAGGCAATCATGAAGCGACCCATACGCTCGCGCAGGGATGAGTAGGACAAAGAGGCACCCTGGGCCGAGTCCTCCGAGGTGTCCTTGGTTGGGCCCTCCGGGGCGACAGAATCGTTCGAGGCTGCCGAGGGTGGTGGCGAGGAATCAGACGCGATACTCTGCCGCATCATGACGAAGACCTTGACCGCATTAGCATAGGACTCCTCGGACCACTTGTCGGTTTCCTGATCGGTCCGTCGTTTGACTTGTGGATGGGCCAGATATTGCTGAATGATGCTCTTCTCATCTACAAAGAAGGAGAAAAAAAAAGAGGAAAGAGCCAATTTAAAAATCTGAGCGCAAAAATCACAACTGATGGCAAGAAAGAGACATCAATAAAAATTTGTTTCTACTTACCTCCGTGTATGGTGTTGAGAATCTTGCGATTGGAGGCGATGGCGAGGTGGGGTATATTGGAGACATAGTCATTGCCACTGACAATGGCGAGGGTGGTCAGCTGCATTGACGAGGACAGACCAAGGGCCTCAAGAACGGCTTTTTTCTCGAAAGGCACAAATCGTCGCGACTTGTACGAGCCTACAGGACGCCAAACGACGGGCACGGTCTTGTAGAATAACAGGTCACTATCACACGAGATGACTGCGTCGTCGGGTTGGCACTCTTTGGCAATGAGAACATCAGACTCAGTTGGGCAGAGCACAATGTCGTAGCCCTTGTTGGCCATGTACTCGACAAACGACATGCGGTCCTCGAGCGACCAATGGAATGCCTGCCGCAGGTGTTTGTTGGCGCTGGCGATGTGGAATTTGCGGATGCGCTTCTTTTCGGCAAGGCGCGATTCGAGGTTGGAGATAGCGGTAGAAGCCTTGACCAGGGCCTTCTGGCGGCTTTGGTGGCGGTTGACGTGCGTTTGGTCCTTCTCCGCTGCTGGCAAGCCGTCAATATAGAAGCGCAGGCTATCCTTGTCGCCAATCTTGAGCAGCCACTGCTCGAGCTTGCCATGTGCCGCATGCAGGTCGGTGGGGTTGCTGTAATAGTATCGAATGGGGGTGTTATGGGTGGAACAGACGTCAACGCGGATCTTGGAGACGGTCGAAACGGGTGAGACCTTGTCCTGGGAATCGGGGAGAAGCTTTTTGTCGCGCAGTAGCTGCCACGCGTACTTCACGCCCATCGTGTTCAAGAAGGCATGTGGAGGAGGATGTGGAACAAGAAACGACCATTACACGTTATATCGTTTTATTCAGGCTTTTGCGACCTCTTCATGTGGTGATTTGGAGTGGCTTAGCTTCTGGTGCTATTTTACGCGCTTGCCTGCGAGTGTCTGGAAAAGCACCTTTCTTCCAAGCAGGTAGGCACTATGCCCTTTGACCATTGGTAGCAATAGTAGTTTCTACCTTTGGAGATTGTTATTGACATAAAGCACCTATATTCCACGATACGACCAGGTCTTGAGAGTTACCGTCTTTATTCGCGATATTGAGAGGGAGCATATACACACACACACACACACATACACACACACACACACACACACCACACACATATATACATACATCCTTTTCCTCGTCTGCCACTATTCGAGTTATGCCCGCTAACCCTGAAGATACTCCTTTGGATACAGGAGTTGCCGAGAGAAACTCCACTATCCCTTCTCCCTCTCCATCGACAAGTGACCCTGTTCAACCGGGCACTGACGCCAACGACTCGACCAGCCAAGGGCAACTCCCTCCAAGACCCCCACATTCACCTAATCACGTGATCAATCGATGTGGTGCATTGTTCTTTTTTGACAAAATGTGTTTTTTCGTACCTTGCAATGATTAGATATCCTATTACTCAGTGGTTAGACTGGCTGAAGAACGAATGTGGCCTGAAAACGGATGCATTCATGGTGGACTGTGCCGAGGCTGAGTCCCACGCCATCGAGACCGTTTTTCCTGAGATAAGGATCTACTACTGCGATTTTCATGTCGGTCAGCTGTGGGAGAAACAGTTGGTCAAGTTCTCGGTAGGTGTTTCTTTCTCTCTTGTTGGCCTGATACCGTGTAGCATCCTCGGGCAATATCCTGGGTGATCTAACATAGTGCCCATGTTGCATTCATTCACACAGGAGGAACGGAAGAAGCAGATGCGACCCCTTTTGAACGAGGTTCGCAGAGCCAGGTCACCTGAGTTGCAGCAGACACTCTGGACCAGGTTCAAAGAGCTTTATTCGGCCGCATCGTCGGTGATCAGTTACATTCAGAAGAATTGGTTCAACAAGGAGGGAAGGCTGGAGAAATGGGCGTTTTTCACAGAGAGGTAAGGTACGCCACAGTTACTTTCCATATCGATCATTACTACTACCAGCACTTGACTCATACATCTGTTTTTAACATTGTTTTTATTTTTTCATTAGGATGGGCATGTTGTCACGACCAATAATTGGATAGAGTCTTGGCATGCTCGTTTGAAGGGCGATCATCTTGATGGCGATCGGAATCTCCGTATCGATCGGCTTGTTTATATACTGCAAGACCGGTAGATAGAGAGTTTCGATTCGCATATCTCAAGACTAAGAGAAGCTTCCAGCCCATACCCTGGAGGAAAGGGGATGAGGAGAGGAAACAGAAGGCAGACAAGGTTTCGTTCGACGAGGCACAACGCATGATTGAGTACAACAGTGGCCAGCCCTGCAATGATGGACGCTTACGGGTATGGCTTCACTGATGGTTGCTCGAACACCACTCTAAGCTTGCCTGCTTTAGCCAAATGTCACTCACAGTGGGTTTTACTTTCAACTTGCCTTAATTATGTAGATCTCCATTCAGTCATTTGACCCTGACACTCCAGATACGTATTATATCCTTGTTGTCGTCGCCAGATCTGGTCAGCTCCTCTCATGTTCATGCCTCGACTTCACCAAGCGTAAACCCCTTCCGTGCAAGCACCTTTTTCTTGCTGAGCGTGTGTTTCACGACCTATGGCTCAGCCGCTTTCTTCGCCCGTCTGCGTCGGCCGATATCATCAAAGACCGGACAGACGACCTCAACGATGGTCCCAACGACAACGCCAACAATGATACCAACGACAATATCAACAATGACAATATCCACATCAACAATGATGCCGGTATTTTCGAGCAAAACTCATTCAGGGACCAACTAGCAGTGCTTAACCCACAGGTTTACGCCCAACTCGAATACGAGAGGGCCAGGAGGGAGGAGGAGGTAAGGCACCGGCGGAAGGAGCAGAGGAAGAGAGGCTTTGAGGATACAGAGGAAGAGCTCCGCAACAATGGGCGCATGATTGGCGAGCTGATGAACAAAAAGTCGAAGACATGCAGCTTGGAGGACCTACAGGCTGCCGTTGCCTCCTCCAATACTTTGGTACATCAACTCAGAAACCTGTTTAATAAATGACTCTTTATTTCCCTTCATCCTGAGTGTGACACACTAGAAATACGAAATGTAGCATGTTCTTCAATATTTCAGTACACTGCACAAGCTTTGCTTGCACAAAAAATGAACAAGCCGCCTGCTTCGCCCAAAATTGATCAACACCTGGGAGACCTTTGTCGCCAGTCACAGAAACCTTGTGTTATATTTCAGATCCTCGCTCTGTTCTCTCATCTGGAATCGGTTCCCGATCTATTTGTATCCCCCGCATGAGAGCAGTCAGCCTCAAACAGATCCCCTTCGTCCGCTACAACCTTTATGGAAGAAGCAGATACAACCTTGCTGAGCAGTGAGCCTGCAGAGATTTCCTCCAGTCTTGTTGGTGGGCTCTTGGCTTGTTGGTTGTAAGATGTTGTACTGGATGGTTTCCTACTTCGAGGGTTATTGTCATCGTCGCCTTTGTGCTCGATTCCGTGTTATTATTGTTGGTGGTAATGCCCTCCATGACGACTCGAGTGGAAAAGAGGAAGGAATGAAAGAAAGAAAGAAAGGAAAAGAAAGTGGAGAAGGGAGGGGTGATTATAACTTTGTTTCCGCGTGGCCGTTATAACGTCGATCATTGATCGTTGATAAAATCGCGTTTTGTCTTGGGTCAACGCCAAAGGGGTCAATCAGAACGCGTCCTGTCGATCTGTCGTGTATGATTAGTGTTGGCAGTAGGCGTATTTTTTTCTTATCTTGACCCCTTGAAATACTGGAGGGAAATTTTCCTTGACTTACACAATGGCTCACTTTTTCATTTTTCTTTTAGCGGCTGAAGGGACAAAGACGAAGGGTCACGCAATAAATCCAGCCATCATGTCCATAAAAGTTCGCGCAATGATTATCCTTTAATTGAACGTCCCAGAAGTCGTTCCGTTTCCTTACGTACTGCAGCTTTGTCGTTTTCAACACGGCTTCCTGTCCATGGATGGAAAAAGTCCAACATTGTCGACCGAATCGCCGACTGCTACTTGATCCCCCTATCAGAAAGAAACGCCATTCTTGGGGATCTGAAGATGCAATCGATGTCCAATCCCTAAACTCGCTAACACAAATCCAACGATTGCATGGCGAATAAACACGATCCTGCGCTCTATCCGCATGCATGTCAATGGTAGATCCTGCTGCGCCGATCTGACAGTCCAGCTCCTGTACCGATTTAAAGCCTCCATACACGAGTTTGAGTGTCTTCCAGTGAGATCGCCGTTTTGTCAAGTCATCCAGACGATACGTCGATGGAAGGAACTTGGACTGGACTTGTCAGAGGATTTCTCCTTCGCACGGACTCGCCCTTAGATAGCTGAGGAGAGTGGAGGATGGGGTTGTGGCATCAATTGAATGGTGTTGTTGGAAGGATGGACAATTGAACAAGATATTGATCTTTTTTATTTTCTTTGTGTATTCAGGCGTGTTTCGTTGTGTGTTGTTCATTTTGAGTACTTGGCGTTTCGTTTTGCTGATTGGCAAGATTAAAGACGGTCACGATCATCACAGGATAAGCCACCCTTTTTTTTTTTTTGTGAACCTTGGAGCAAGGTGCACTTGACAGAAAGAAGCACACTCCACTCTCCCTTCCACCCTCCTCCGCATTCATCTCCCTCTCGACCACCGCATCGTCGACCACCACACTAAAACGAAATCCAAGGACCAAACATACCGACCTCTCTCAACACACATATCTACACATAATGGCCGTCGAGAAACTCAACAAGAAGCAAAAGAAGTCGAACGAGTTCAGGAACAAGAAGAGAAAACTCGACGACTCTATCGCCGACGTCCCCGAGGACGATGACAACAACACCAACGACGACGCCAAGGAGGACAAGAAGAAAGAGAAGAAGGAAAAGAGCAAGGAAGCACCTAAAGAATCCGAGGATGGAGCAACGGCCGACGGCAAGAAGAAGCGTAAAAGAGGCAAGGGTGCCGCCAAGGAGGAGGCACCTGCTACTGGAGCAGAGGGAGCAGTGGAGGCTAAGGAGGGTGAAACTGCTGCTGTTAAGGCTGCACCCAAGAACCAAAAGTTCATTGTCTTTGTCGGTAAGGAGCTCTTTTGTTGGTCGTCGGGACAACGTGTGAGCATGACAGGTTACTAACTGGATCTCGCGTTGTTGATATTATTCTTGACATATAGGCAACCTTCCCTACAATATCACCAAGGAACAATTGGAGAAGCACTTTGAGAGCTGTGGTATGTGTTCTGGATGGGCTATTGTTTATCAGGAGGCGCCATCAAGCTGTCAGAAATCACAGCAGGAGCTCTTTTTCGCTAACTAGTACCTTCGTTAATATGTTTTGTCGCTGTAGGCAAGATTTCGTCTGTAAGAATCCAGACTGATAAAGCAACTGGAAAGGGCAAAGGGTTCGCATTTATGGAGTTCCCCGAGCCAGAATCTATGCAGGTATGTGATCACGGGTAATATTTCACCTACACGATGGGTTATATTACCTGTAACTCGGTCTGTTAGACGTGGGCCAGCTCCCTGCTCCTATTTGGAAGTAATGCAACGGAACCAATTCTAACATATAGTATATTTTCCCTTGAACATTATAGAAAGCATTGTACTTCCACAAGACGCTGTTCAATAAGAGACCCATTAATGTGGAACTGACTGCAGGGGGTGGAGGAAACAAGAGTGCTACCAGGAAAAAGAAGATTGCAGATAAAAACGAAGCCTTGAACGAGGAGCGCGTAAGTCCGCCTTTGGAACTCTTTTTTCTTTTTTCTTTTTGGATCTAGTTTTGTGGACAGAGAGTCGTTTCACTCATGGCTAATATCGTTACCTATTATCAATTTACCATAATTAGCGCAAGGTCCATGAGAGGCACATCGCACCGGCAAAGGAGGCCAAATCATCTTATGCTGCTGCAAACCCACCAGTGGTCCAGAAGGCTCCCCCCAAGGTGTTCAAGAAGCCCGCAGATATGAGTGACGCCAACGCGATCATTGTTGATGGACTCTCAGCGCGTCTTCGTCGCGGATAGTTATCTCTTTTTCTTTTTCTTTTTCTTTCCTCATTTGCATCTTACCCAGCATATTTTTTCGTTCATTCCTATTACATGCATATTAAACACATCGTGCCACAGCAACCACAAAATAGGATTGTAGTGTTTCTCTGGCTTTATGTTTTGCTGCTAGTTCTGCAATGGGTCCAGACCATCGATATCTATCTTTCTATCTTTCTGCCGGGCACTTTTTCATTTCCTTCCTTCATATCTTTTGCTTCTTCCCGTCTCATTCTTGTCCATCTGTCTACTTTCACATGCTACTTTTCTGCATCCGCAGCCCACCAACTTCCGTGGTGGTTTTTCTCCTTTTCATTTTCTCCCCAATTTCTCCCCCTTGTGGGTTTTCCATTTGGACGTGTGAGTGGAGATGAAAACCACCCTGCAGGCCAGTGGTGGATAGGGGGAAGAGAATGGGGGAAGGAGGATGAAAAATAAGGAAATTCAATTGGGGAGTTGGAATGTGGCCCCTCCTTTTTTGTCCTGTCCAAGTTTGAACAGAACAACCTTTTTTTTATTTCGAGGGAACACAGTGTGAGGAAGTTGTGATGTGTGCCATGGCCGTACACCCTTGTTTATTTTGAGCTCGGGCGGAAAAAGGACAGGAAAGGGAAGAACGTCCGTTACCCTGTCCTTGTGTTTTGTTTGTTTATCTCATGCCTTCCCTCCATCCCTCTGTCTGTTCTACCCGTTGATTTTAAATAGATGTAAAAATCTTGAGCACAGCATGTGTTTTGTTCGTGGAAGAGGGAGATGGAAGGTGCAAGAAGATGAGAAAACACATCCGTCTTCATGTGCTCGTGCTTGTCGGGACTCGAAAACAAAAAAAAGGTTGCCGTCGAGACGGGATCCCATCCCAACCTTGAATTGTATCCAATTTCCCTCAAAAGTCGACTGCATGTGTGAATGTGCTTGTGTACGAGTGCATGGGCCAAGCCGCCAGGCATAGGAAACACAGAGTGTGTTCAGATTACTAGGGAAGTAGCTACGTGAGAACAAGAACGTGTGACAAGAAAGCTAAACAGCTCTTTTCTTTGTTTTTTTCGTTTCCATTGTTTCACCAGTACAGCGGCACACCGCATATGTATGTAGCCAACGGACAACGGGCATAGCATAGATGGCTCATGCATGTCGTTTGACTGTTGATCAGACAAAGAGAGTGAGACAGAGACAGAGGGGAGAGACGATCAAACTTCATCAGCTAAAGGTCTGTCTCTCGTTTTTAGTGTGTTTGATGTGAATTAATCAATGGGGTCCAATGGATATCGGGAACTGAATGAAGAAGAGACAGAGATAACGACACCAAGGCAAATACAACGGTCGGGACAAGCACGCGGATACGGTGCACTGTTTGCAAATGGGAGAGTATCGTGCGCTATTATTATTATTCTTGCTTGTCTGTTCATTCATCCATTCATCGCACACACCCTCACACACCCTCACACACCCACACAGGCTTCTACCGGGACAGAAGAAAAGAAAAGAAAAGAAAAAGGGGGCCAGTGGATATGATGATTCAAGTCCACCCTCACTCTTCTTCTCACACACGCGCTCTTTCTCTTCTCTTGCTCACTCTTCTTTTCTTCTTCCTTCTGACTCTTTCTTTTTACTGATTCCCTTCCCCCCCCCCCCTTTTCCATTCCTCTTTTGCGTCTCTTCTCTTTCATACCCTCATCCACACTACCGTCTCCCCTCTTCTTCCGTTTCTACATTCACTTCTCATCCATGCTCCCTCTTTTGCATTACAAAACTCATTCTTCTTAATCAGCCACTCAAGACAGTCGACTTTTTCTTTTTGTTTTGTTCGTTTGTAACCGTTCTTATGCTCCCTTACTTCCTTCTCTGCTTCTCTCACGCCTTCTACTCTCGGACCACCAAGCCCAGCCCTCTCTCTCTTCTTTGAGGTATACACCTCTCCTTCCTCCCGTCCTTCTCATCTCTTTCACTCTAATAACAACACCACTCAATCATGGATCAAGTGAGACACGCTCGACAAGATACCCGGCCCTCTCGCAACAGGAGCAAGAGTCATCATACCCATACCATGGAGACACCTGTCACTTGGCCCGAGGGTTACTACCCTCAAGACGCAGTCGTCTCCCAACAAACAGCCGAACGCATGCACGCCTCAACCGTCGCTGTCTCCTCTTCTTTCTCTTCCACCACGATACCCGTAGCAAGGTCGCCTTCTCCTTATCTTGCTACCAACACCAATATCACAGCTCTCACAGCAGGAACAGGGTCAATACCAACAGCGACAAGCCCAGCTCGCACAAAGGTCCAACTGTCCAAAACCTTTCGCCCCGCTCCCATCTCTGCTCCCTCTCCAACTTCAACAGCACCACCGACCTTCACACCTTCATCCTCTACCCGGAAACCCATCAAGTCTGCATTGCCAAACTCTAGAGACGACCTCGAGTTCTGGGCCTCACTCTATGCTCAACACCCCGTCATCACCCAGCAGCGACATGAACCAGCAGCCCTCTCACCACCACGGACCGTCAACAAGAATTGCGGACCCTTTGTCAAAATCTGGCAGGTGTTGAGAAAGACTCATTTGAAAGAAGGAGAAGAGAGGGATGATCGCTCGGGCCGCTTCCGCTTTGAAACACTAGCTCCTGAAGAGATACCGACCACGACCACAGCGACAAAGATCTCGCCCAGCACAAGTTCCTTCTCGGTTGTCATCTTTTTCACCGTCGAGGAAGGAGAGCAAAAGGATAGTCAACAGAAAAAGTTTGGATCTGGATCTCGAAACTCGAAACGGTGGTCGTTGCCTCCGACCTTGCAGTTGTGGTGTGTCGAGTCGGCGAGGAACAGGAACAGGATGCTGTTCAACCAAAAGGAACTCATGGGCTCCTTTGTCCCCAACGCACTCAGCTTCCACCCGGACTCAAACGGACACGATGTTTCAGCACCACTCTATATCTACGAGACGCAGACCTTGGGCTTGGATGCTGTCAGCCAAGAAGGACCAATGGTATTGGAGTTGAAGCTGCAAAGCACCGAGGGAGCCATCTATTCTGACTTTTTCTACTTGTTTGTTCAGGAGAAGGAGGGTTTAGTAGGTGTTGGCAACGGCAATTTTATTGAGACAACGGTGATGACCCCGCGATCGCAAGGCATAAAGCCTAGGAGCCTCGGCAGCAACGGTTCTGCAGGAGGTGAAAACAGACGGAGATTGGTGGCTGGTGTCCATAACAACGACAGCGCGGGATCTTCGATTGGTTCGCATGAGAATGAGCATCACAAGGACCGAGGCGAATGGGACATGACCGAGGATGAGCTTGACGAGGAGGAGGAAGAGGAGGAAGAAGAGGAGGCAGAGGACGACGACTTTGAGGAGAAGCCGAATGGCATCAATGATAAGAAAAAGTCGCAAGGTGGAGTAAGAGGAAGTGGTGGACCAGTGGAACCAGATGCAGGAGAACATCTCATGCAGGCGACATCTCAATTCTTTTCCAAGATGGGGTAAGTTTATTACAGGCATATGCATATCCTTCGATGGTGGTGCACGCGCATGTGCACGTGTGTACTTTTATTTTGAGGGCGAAATGTATTTTCAGGGGGTCAGACATACAATGCTAATGTACTTATGAACCACCTTCTAATGTCATGCTACCTCGTACTCCAATTATAGGTATTGGCTGTACAACTCAAGGGTGGTGCAGTACATTGCACGGGATGAGCGGACAAGGATCAAGACCGCCTTCCAGCCAGAGGACATCTGGATGCTCGGCATCTGCTACAGTCTCCAACTACAACTCGACAACAACAATACCAGTACTCTAAAACCTGTCGTTCAGGAACCTGTCGAGGAAGAAACGGAGGATCACCACGACCATACGGCAACAGAGGACAATGCGTTGGTAACAGCAGCCTCGCAGGCTTCGATACTGGTAAACGGTGGTGAAACTACACCTTCGGAAGGACCTGGACCCCACCGATCCATGTCTCTGACCAAGTTTACGACAACAACCCCAGACCGCTCACCTGCAACATCTTCCATCTCATGCCATGAAGCACAATCACATTCGCATTCACGGGCTACAATGACCGATAAGGTTTCGGACACAGCAGCAGCAACACCAGCAGCGAGCACGTTGGACCAGCACGGTGCAGAAACTAACCCCTTGCCATCACCCGCAGCCTCACCTAGTACAAAGCGATCTTCGAAGCTAGCCTCGAGGTTTTCGAAGCTGAGTCTGGGGTCTGAGAGTTCTTTGGCCAAGGAGGCAGCGCGTCAAGGTCGCTCATCTCCAGATGCTGGCAAGGGAGACGCCGAGAAGACCGACTCCACAAGGACCGAGCCGACTCCCAGCCCTCGCAAGCCAGGAAAGCGCAGGATGACTATTTCGGGACTCTTTTCGTGGGACTCTTCCTCCTCTGACTCCAAGAATTCTGTTCCACCACTGCCTACACTTCCTACCAGCAACAGTGTGTCAGCCCTCAAGAACTTGGTTCGACCCTCCGGCGCTAAAACTCAGCAATCAGCAAGCGCAACTTTCCCTAGTACCTCGACAAAAGTATCGCCACAGTCAACAATCTTCATGGACCCGGAATCTCTGGAGGATGATGACTTTGCTAATGTCGAATACCCACCCGAACTTGTAGGACGACAATCTACCTCTGGCTCTTCCTCAGCCTTGGGATCTATACCTGAACGCCGGTCCGTGCATGCCACATCTGAGGCGCAGACACTGGAGACAAGAATGACACCAACACCACCACTACGATTGTCATCGTCGCAATCTTCAAGAGAGCTGGAGGCGCCTGATGCGGCGGCAGGACCCAAGAGGGAAAGGAGGCGCAAGACTAGTCAGATGGTGGTGCAGGGACCGACGGATCTGCAGTGCACGGACCAGCAACAGCAATACCCGACCACTCAGGGATCACCATCAATTTCGGATAATGTCTCAGGTTCCATCACTTCTCGCACGAGCCAATCGAGCGGTAACAGTAGTAGGCGGCAGAGCAGTGTGCCGCCCTCTACATCGACGCCTTCCAAAGGGCGACCCAGGACGGCCACCTCTTCCATCCCTTCTGTACCATCAGCGTCGTCACCTTCACTACTTCCCGCGACACCTCCAGCTAGCAGTAATAGTTCTTCAGGATCGGCCATTCGTCGTTCATGGAGATCTCTCTCGTTATCTTTGGCTTCAGCGAAATCGGCCCTACCACTTGTGTCCTCATCCAGTTTCAGTCTTCGATCTCCTAAGTTGCCACCTCACCTCAACGAAGCCATGATGCGCCGAGACTGTGGCGAATTCGGAAGCGAGGAGGACTACTTTGCCAATGCCTTCAACGTCCCTGGTTCTGTTACCCTCCCACCCGGAGTAACAGCCTCACTCGCCCTACTCCGGACCAACCCCTCATCCACCACCAGCACCCTCACACCAGAGCAAGCAACCCTCAGCCTCTTCATGATGGACTTTCAATCCCGACTATGGTTCACATACCGCAAGGACCTGGAACGGATTGAACCTTCTTTTTACACCTGCGACTCTGGTTGGGGATGTATGATGCGAACAGGACAAAGTCTGCTGGCTCAGGCGTTTGTCCAGGTGTTGATGGGTCGCGAATGGAGGGTTCATCATCATGACCAACCTCTGCCGACGCAACGACGTCAGGGGAGGAGGTACAAGGAGATTGTGAGTTGGTTTGTGGATGAGGCTGAGAGGCCGTATAGTATTCATCGGATTGCGAAGCAGGGATTAGCGTTGGATAAGCGGATTGGGGAGTGGTTTGGACCCTCCACCGTCGCCCATGCCCTCAAGTATGTCTTTTCCTTTTTTTGTTTTGTTGTTAGATGGTATGGTCTGCATTTGTTGCTGTGATGGCCATGCTGATTTTTTCTTTTTTTTTCACCTAACAGGCGCCTTACAAAATCGCACTATGATTGCCCGCTGAAGGTCATAGTCCCAATGGACGGAACCGTCCGCGTCTCGGCAGTTCTCCGTGCCGCCTCATCTCACTACACATCCCATCTTTCAACCACAGCAGTCTCATCAACCTCTCCCTCACCTTCCCCAGACCCTATCCTGAGACCTACGCCTACACTGTTGCAGACGCAGGCTTGGAGACCTGTGCTGCTGTTGATCCCCGCCCGCTATGGCCTGGACAAGGTCACAGGGAAGTACATCGCCAATTTGAAGCAGCTCTTTCGGATGCCCCAGTTCTTGGGTATCGCCGGCGGGCGACCTAATCGATCGCTTTACTTTGTTGCTTCTCAAGGTAAGCTGGTCACATTTTGCCTTTTTTTTTCTCATTCAAGGAAAATGAAAAAAAAAGAGAATTTGCAACTAATGCATGGTTTTTTTTCTCTCTGTCGACTTTTGTAGGAGATGAGCTGTTCTACTATGACCCGCATTTCGTGAAGCAGCGCGTAACACCTGAAGAACTGGACTCATACCCCATGCCCGTATGTGTCCTTTGTTGTTTTTTTTGTTTCTGTACCATTGGTATCCAAGGTGTTCTTTCCTCTAACACTACCTCCCTCTCCCTCTATCTCTTCTCCTATACGTACCGAAAAAACAAACAAACTGTAGAGCTTCCACTGCCCAGTTGTAAGGACAATGCACATCTCAGAACTTGACCCCTCCATGCTGCTTGGGTTCTTAATCCAGTCTAGGGATGAGTTGGATGATTTGAGAGTTCGGTTGGATCGGGATATGGTCGAGGCTTCGTACCCGCTGCTCACATTCGTTGATGATTCTGACGCTTCTGCATTTGCTTTGTGAGGATGTTGGGGTTACATTTTTTTTCTGCGCTTCCGCATTTTGTGTCGAGTCCATCCTATTGTAATACTTCTGACTTTTCCTGGGTAATAAATATGCTTCTAACTAAAAGATTGAATAAAGGTGAATAGAAATCTAGCAATAAAGGGTGAAGAGGGGGGAGGGTCCTCCTCCCGGTAGGCGTAGTCGTCCTACTTGAAATGTATAGTCAAATCCAGGGATATTCTCAGTTAAAGGCTCCGACTCATCAATTGCACCACGCTGTGTTAACAACTGTTGGTAGACCTGCAGCGTCCTTGAATCCCGAGCCCTCAACGCACAGCCGTTCAAGGTTCGAACCCAGGTCAACCGCGCAGAAACGACTCGGCGTAGTAGAAATAGCGAGGCAGCTCGATCTTTTGCTCCATGTCCTTTCAAAAGACAACATCACGAAGCAATTGATTGAGTTAGCTGACGCCGTTTATTTCAGGTACAACAGAAGCAGCATAAAGGTCCTTTCAAAAGAAAACTTCACGAGGCAATTGATTGAGTTAGCTGACGCCGTTTATTTCAGTGTGTATTGTTTGCTTGCGTATCGTGCCATAGGATCCCCCCCCCCCAGTTTCAACAACCTTCTTCTTCATTTCCTTTACTCACAACATCAACCTCAACTGTGAGTATAACAACCACTCCACAATATCTCAACCGAACCTACCTGATTCCGTAACACCGTTAAAATAAGCCACTGACCGCAAGGCGGACAAGCCATACGATTGATCCGACCAATGTTCACAAAGAGATTTTCACTAAATTCATTCAATAATGTTGCTGTACGTGCTGATGACCAACTGCTGACCGTTCGGTGAGAAGGCCAACAACCCAGGTCTTGTGTAATAAAAGGTGGTCGTCTTCAAGAGGAGCTTTGTCTGTGGGCCGAAAAGCCGGATAGCGCCAGTAGAGTCGCCGATCGTCACTTGGTGCCTCGTTGGAGAGAATGCCACGCAGATGAGTTTATCGTTGTAGTCGACTGGACGAATGGCAATAAGCTAGTTCTTTGCCAGTTCTTGAAAGTCCCATTAATATACGGTTTCTTCGCTCATCGACAGGGTCCATCGACCGCTGGGCGAAAAAACAACGTCGTAGACCCACCCATGGTGTGCGCCAATGGTGGGTCCTAGTGCACCCATCTGACACTCGCACACAAGTAGGGCTCCATTTCTATAACCACCCGCGACTTGAATGCTGTTGGGTGAGATGGCGACTGATTGGAGCTGTCCAAAACATTTGCGCATAGCTGTGCAAACGGCGCCTGCCAGAGCATTCCGCAGCCTCACGAAGTCGTCAATATGCTTGGTGAGGATAAATTAGCCCTCTCCCGTAAATAATACATCCAAATGGGTGTCTTTTCATATAAGTACCCTCACTCCTACTCTTTTGGCACCTCTCTCACTTTGATACACTGTTTCCTTTTGTCTCTTCTCTTGTCCACATTTGTTCTTTCGCTCTTGCTCTGCTGCCATTACATCTCCGTTCTCACCACCCTCACCGTCCATTGATGCTAGCAGCACTATGCCGAACATGCTTCAACCTCACCCTTTTTCCCTCTCCCCTTTCTTTCATCGTATATTGTGTTTTTTCTGCACAGGTCAAACGCCAGCACACGTCCCTCTCTGTCCTCGGCTGGCATAGAGAAAAGACAATTTTGACGATGTAAACTTGTTCCAACATTGGGTATGCTAGCAGATAATGTTACGACTTTGCTGTTGAGGGCGATAGATACCCTATCGTCCTGATATGGAAGCGGTAGGAACTTTGAAAAATGTGAGAGAAGAAATATGTATAGTAAACGAGGAACGAGATAAAATATTATAAGAACATTGCTTCGTGTTGATCTTTGTGAACGTCGCTTGAACGTTATTAGTAGACAGGTCGAAATCATGAGCTGTTTTTAAGAGCCTGACTCAAGGGAAAGAGAAAGAAGAGGTAAGATACTGTTCTTAACAAACAAATCGATAGACCAAAGACACAAGTGCCTGCGGATCGACTCAACAGGGCGTCTCGCATCTCGCGCTCTTTCTGGTTTCAAGCACGTCCCTACTACCGCTCTTTTGCTTTAAGAAAATTTAGTTTATTTCAATATCTTCGTTCTGGGTTTCTGCTCCATGTCAAATGCCTTGAAGGTCATCATACATGCCCAAAGGTCACTCCATATCCCGTTATTAACAGGCGGGGATGGACTTGGCCTGAGCGCCACGGCAGTTAGCGGTGGTCTTGAGCTTGGGAGACTCCTGTTTACCGTTCTTGATAATACCCTTGAATTCCTGGCAGACATGCTTGATACCGGTTCCGCACGATCCAGAGATGATGGCGACATCGCCGTAGTTGGAGTTGATACCGACGAGATCAGCCTTAACGTTCCTGGCCTTGACGTTTTGGACAATGACGTTTCTTGGGCCGCCGTTCTTGCTGCAGTTACCGCAGCTTCGGAAGAGCTTGCCGACGTTGACGACGGTGTAGTCCTTGATGGTGACGGTTCCTCTTCCGTTGTGTTGGACAACCTTGTCGATGGCGTCCTGAGCTCCACCTCCTTGGATCAAGACGCTTCCGGTACCCTTGAGAGTGATGGCATCTATATGGAAAATATCAATTTTTGGGTTAAGACAGGGCTCAGTGAATGAGAATACGTGTAATGAATGAAAGTGTATGTACTGAATGAGAATGTGTGCAGCTAATGAGAATGTTTGTACCTTCGCAGACTTTGCGGAACCAGACGTTCTTAAGAGTGCAAGCACCCTCGCAGTGAACTCCCTCAAGAGAATTCCCTCCGATGATGACGTTGCTCAAAGTAGCACCGTTCTTAAGGATGAAGACAGCGTTGGCAGATCCAGTGTCATCATCAGAGTCGCAAGGACGACCACGGTCAAACTCCTTGTTGGCGTAATCATGAACTCCAGAGATAACGCTTGGTGCGGGGAGGGAAACGATCTTGCCGGATCGAGTTGGGATGTTGAGGTTTTGGGCAGCGCAGACAGTGGCGAAGACAGCAGCAAGAGCGGCGTATTGGAACTTCATGTCGAAAAAATAAGACTTGGTGAATAGATTCTTGGTTGAGGGTTGGACTGGGTGTAGTACCGATGCTGAGGATGTCGAAGCTGAAGACTGTGGTGAGGATTGACTGGTGAAGAGAAAATTCCTAGGGACGGGTCCAGTTCTTATATACTTGTGAGATAGCTCTGTTTCGCGTTCTAGACTGAAGATAAGACTTCATAAACATTGAAGTACATAGAGTTGTTTGAAGGCTGATGGAGCCCTTCAAATATACGTTTCTGTTTGTAATGCATAAATGTGGTGAGCTTTCGTAATGGGTAACGTAGAAAAGTTGCCCAGGGGTAAATGTTCATTTAATGGTAGCACATCGGGACAAAACATGCGATAAGGTTTGTTCCATGAGATTTAGCGTTATTTTATGAGGAAAACCAGGTAAGAGAGCGCTTCCATCAATTTATAGGGCACATTTCAGCGTGATTTGTTCCGCCTAAGCGGGTCGTGACTGACTGATATGTGCGCAATTTGGATATGTCCTTCAACGTTCTTATTTGCATATCACACTGGCGAACAATCGACGCATATATAAATGAATGCATCGCACCTAAGCCAAGCGGTGCGTCATGATGATAATCACCAATCATAATTGAGACTATAAGCCTGTTGTTTACGCCGAAGTCTTGATTGCCGGCTGTAGCGAGTTATGCGTGGCGAACGTCGCTTTCGTTTGCAATGGATACATTAAATGACATAAAACTAGTGGATGTTCCAAGATCGGAGAGCAATACTGGGTAATGGTTCGCAATTGAACATTAGAAGATAATAGAAAATGCATTGCTCTCCGAATGTTCACAGAGTCGTGTATATTCTTTCTCGCGAACTGTTGTAGTCGAGGCCCGCGAATGTACTTCTCGCTGCCTGGTTTTCGCGTGCCGTCCCGAGCCCATAAAAAATGTGAGCGCCTTATCGGCGTATTCGGGACGTATTGTCAACAAACGCGTGGGTAGTCACAAATCCAAGTGGGATAGCTGTCTACAAGCGCTTTTCAATTATTTCACGTTGACGAAGGGGGAACATCGTGGTACAGTAATGATTATTGTCAATATGCTACAACTCTATATGCACAGGAGGCGACGAGCATTTCATAAACCTAATTCATTGCACTTTCCCCTCTTTCGAGTCAGGAGGGCTATATTCATCATTTGTCAAGGTCACACGGGGATGAGTGGGTGCAGTATGAGGGATGCAGCAAAGTGGTGAAGGGGGAAAATCTTGGAAAAAGGAGACGGGAAAGTGAACACAAAGGCAGAGTCGGGCAGGGATTGGTAAGGTGAAGTGAAAGGTGAAGTGGCCAAAAATAGGGAAGTAGGAACAATAAGGTGTAGAGGAACAGCAAAGTTTAGGAATCGTCAAGGTAAGGTACTAGGTGATGAGAGCTCCTGAGGCGGGGAGAGTAGATGATTGGTGCACGGGGGATAGGGGTAGTAGGAGGGAGGGTTGAGGGAGAGGCGAGAGAGAAATGGAGACAGAGAACAGGATAACTAAGGTAAGTAGAGAGGGCGGGAGGGGATAGAGGGAGAGTGCAAGCGAAAGAGGAAAGGATAGATAGAGGCTATGAGTGGCTTGCTGCTTTGCCATTCTCGCCTAGAAACAATCGAGTCCAGCTCCCAACCGCACAAGGCCATCTTGGCTTCCTGAAGCCAACTGCCGACCGTCGGGAGAGAATGCAGTATCGTAAACTTCGCCGAAATAACCAGGAAATGTCGAAACGAGGGGTCCCGTCCACTACATCTCATAGTCTCACGGTCTCCTCCTTGCTGGAGGTGGCCACCTATCGGTCATTCGGCGAAAATGAGGCGCTTATGACATTTCAGGTGTAGCCAGACAAAAATACGCCGGCATCTCCGGAGATGGTGTGCTAAAGTTGTGTAATTCCATTCTCATGCTCGGAAACAAGTCGCCGTCCATTCGGGCCAAAGGCAAGAGACAATACCTGTCCATGAAGGGTATTCCAGGCGGCGCCTGACTCTCCCTTGTACGGATCCCATAACAGACTCGCCCCGTCCTAGGAGCCAGACACAATCCGGTGGCCGTCAGGCGAGAACTTGACCACCACGACTCTCCTCGTATGCCCTTCAAGACGAAAAGGTTCCTCCATTCCTCCGCATCGTACAAACTTACCACATCTTTGATAGCTGGACCAAAGCACCTTCCATGAGGTGAAGACGCAACCGCCTTCAGATCCTGACCGTGATCCTGCAAGTAACATCTTCCCGCTGGTGCAATACTACAAGCGTGCTTTGCCGACATTGCTCCCGGTTACAAACTGTCGACTGTCAGGCGTGAATGCAATGCAAAGGGTGAGGCTCACCGGCAAAAACTCGTGGATTTCAGTCCAAGACGCTGTATCGTAAATAACGATATATGAAAAAGAGCGAACTTTTTCCCTTCAGGCGAATGGGCACAGGCATTAACACTCCTGCCCGATAATCCAGCATCGAAGGACATCAATCGTGGAGGTGCGACAGAGGAGAGTTCGCTCTGCGCCCACATTATGGAAGGATATGAGGCAAAGGGAGAGTGAGAGGATCAGAAGAACGAAACTGGATGCCTGCGCTGATGATCCACTCCTGCTTCCTCGACGTGTTCTCTCTCACTGATCGCGTCGAGAGAGAAATAACAACGAGATTGATAAAGTGGCCACACACACACCCCCCTCCACTTTTTTTTTGTCTTAGTGAGCGTCAGAGGGAACGCATCAGCTGGAAAAAAATGAGTAGGGTAATAGGGACACTAAAACAAGGCAACGACATATCCCATCAATGCTTCATCCCTCCTCCTCATCCCCTTTCCCTCTCCTGCTAGTTCGTGACGGAGTTTTTATTATTTTTATTTATTCGACCCATGTTAGTTCTTCCTTGTCGTTCCCTTAGTACGCCTTCCCAGAAAACCTAAACAGCATGTCTCCCTCCCCTTGGAAAGACGATTTCGCACACATACCAAATGGATTTTGAAAGGGGCATGGGGTATGCAACATCTCTCATGGAATAGGGAGGGGCGTCTCATATACTTCCAACAGACAATAAAACAAACTCACAGGAGGAAAAAAAGCTGAGTTGCAAAAAAAAGAACATCCAGTTCCCCGGCAAGAGAAGATTGAGTTCCTTACTTTTTTCCCTACCCTATCCTTCATGCACTCCTCCTCTACGTTCCGACCTATCTCGATGCGTTTCCTAGGGAGCTAATTGATTCCCTTGTTTTAATTTCTATTTTTTTTTTTTTCTTCGTGGTTTCACAACCTTGATAATATGTCTAGGGGCTGCATGCTAGGACTACGACTACGACTACGACCAGCCCACGAAAGCATAAAGTGAACCCTTCACATAATAAATGGCAATCCTCAAGAAACCCCTCGTCCAGCTCTCCGCAATCCTGGCTTTTTTCATCCCATCAGCCACCACCGTGCTCGCTACCCCGAAGGCTATCTACAAGGCAGCTTACATATAAGATCCCGGAAATCAACCTGGCAAATTCCTGGCCGCTGATCAGAATTCACACCCAGTTCTATCTCTTAATTACGTCAACCAATGTTCCAAATGACACGAGCACCCTGTCCCCGCCGTCGGCACTATCCTGTCAGGACTGATGCTCAGGTAAGGCACCAGGTTCAAGGAGATACGGGACTTGGTCTGTAAGAATATGGGTGAGTGCAGTATTTTATCTAGTGATGGCGTGGGAGGTTGCTGTTGTCCCAGCACAACCCATTCTCCCCTTCCACTCCCCTTTTTGTTATCTGCTGTTCTTATGACTGCAAGGCAAACATATCCTCACTTGGATTATGTTCTGTCAATTCTTTGAAATGGACAACTAGTTATCCATGATAGCATTGTGATGTCGGGGCCTTTATGTTCATTATTCTCCTCAAAGGTTCCTTCGAACAGTTAACATAGCGTAGATCACAATAAAAAAAAGTGAAGGCGGATGAACAAAAGACACTAGGAAGATAACGTGTCATTTGGACAAGTGGGTGTGTGGTTGTGATTTGGTTGTTTTATTGGTGTGCAAAAAAAGGGTAGAGAAGAGCAAAATTTACTCCTCATCCTCCTCCTCCTCGCCCTTGGAGGCAGCAGCGGCAGCGCGCTTTCTCTTCACACGACCGGCACGTCCACCACCGTAGGGGGAGGTGAGGGAGAAGTCGATGTGCTTCTGGGAGTCGAGACGGACAACGAACGAGGGGATATCGACGACCTGCTTACCGACGCGGATGTGACGCTGACGGATCAAGACACGGGCGTGGTGGATGGACTTGGCAAGACCGAGCTTGAAGACCTGGGTCTGGAGACGACGCTCCAAGAAATCCTCAATCTTCAAGGCCAAGACGTAATCGAGCTTCATCTTGTCCTCGTCCAAGACACCGATGCGGACCAAGCGGCGAATCAATGCGTTACCCTCGAAGAGGCGGCGGGGGTCCTTGTCCTCGAGAGTCAAGAGCTCACGGGCAGCACGACGAATGTTGGACAAGGTGAAACCAATGCGCCAAATCTCGCGCTTGTTACGGAGACCGTACTCTCCGACGAGCTTCAACTCCTGGTCGAGACGGGCGGCCTCGAAGGGACGACGGGGAACCTTGTAGGTCTTTGAGCAGTTCTTGGGGGCTCCGGAAGGCACTATTAGGTTGAAGTAAGGGTGAGGTGAACGTGGGAGGTGTTAGGCAATCGGTTCAGATATGGGGTAAGAAAAGTCGAGTTGCTGCGGCAGGACTCAGTGTTTGTGTGTCCGTATGTCAATTGGTCGTGGTGGTTGACTTGCAGTTCACATAAACTTGGTTGGTTGAGTAAACGGGTTGAAGATGACCTCAGGTTCCAGCCATGGTAGTGAAGATGGTAGTTATAGTTGTCGATGTTACGATAGAAGTGAAGGGTTGTTATCGTTGTAGGTTGTGGTAGTTGCCGCTGGTTGACTGTAGAGTCGATGTGTTGCTGTGGTTGTTGCTGCGTCCGTCGTTCCTTGATGAAAAGGTACTTACTGGCTAAAAACTGATTAGAGAAAGAGAAGGATCTCGCCTAGGATGCAGCTCGATGGTTGTCTTTGTACTCCTCAGGGATGTTATTCAGTTAGAGAAAATGGTAAACAAAACATTGGCCGGGGTTTCTTGCCAAATTTGGTAGCAACCCCTGGTTGCATTCAGAAGTGGCTTGTTTTAACAAAGAGGATGGATGGAAATTAGATGGTGAGTGAATGGATGAACCAATCAAAATCAACAACAATCTTCATCAGACTGCTTTTTATTACCAGCAGCAAAGTAAAGGGTCTGAGTGGCCATGGATTGTTTTGATTCCCTCCTTTCTTTCTTGACCTCTTAGGGTACGGGATAATACTTTTTCAGAAAATGGGATTCACGTTTGATCATGGTCCGCTGGGAAAGGATACATGATCACCCTTGTACGATCAACACAGCAGCAACAGCAATAACTCTCGCAGGCGACAAGAGATCATGATCCAGGACACAACCATCATCTCGAAATGCCATGTCAACACAGACATCGGTCACTCACATCCAGCAACATGACTTGTACAAAAAAAACTCACCGGACCCTATCTCTCCTCTTTACATATCAACAGAATTGATTCATCATGCCTCACTCCTATGGTATCCGTGCTCGCACCCGCCACATGTTCGCCCGTAACTTCAGGGAGCATGGTTTGCCCATCAAGCTGACCACCTACTTGAAGACCTACAAGGTCGGTGATATCGTTGACATCAAGGCCAACGGTGCCATCCACAAGGGTATGCCCCACAAGTTCTACCACGGGTATGTCCTCCGCCTTTCCCTCTCAAGGCCTTTTCTCAAAGGCAGCAAGTTGCTGCCGTTAACCTCAATACCAGGACAGGAAGACAACCTTTTTACGGACACAGGACCGACAAAGCAGGAAAAATTCTCTTTGCGAAAACAGACCGAACCCATTGTGACATCAGGGTCAAACTTTTGATCTTTGCATCTCGATCTGAGTGTAAAATCCATCAGCACCGTCAGTAGGATCAGTGGGGGCCATGGGGAGACTTTGATCCCGATTTAAGATCATTCGACATTCAGGATTCAACTTCTCTGCGGCCAGGTTATGACCGAGATCTGCTTCAGTGATTTTTTCAGTGGCGTTTCTGCATACAAGTCGCTCTGTGACCTTACAGTTGTTGGAAGCGACTGTTGATCACCTGGGCAGACAAACAGCAAAAACAGGACTATCACTGCTGCAGGACTTGGACTCTCGCCCTATTTTCGAACCTACCGGCCTGTTTCCACTCTCCTAACTGAGCTGCGCCCGGCTCGGCTCTTTGCGACCGTGTGCTGCTACACACAACAGGACCAGAGTCGTTGTTACCCAGACACTAACCGGACCTATTCCCTCTTTTCCCCCCTCACTACAATAGACGCACTGGTATCATCTACAACGTGACCAAGTCCGCTGTTGGTATCATCATCAACAAGAAGGTCGGCAACCGTTTCCTCGAGAAGCGCGTCAACATCCGCGTCGAGCACATCAAGCACTCCAAGTGCCGTGATGACTTCTTGCGCCGCGTCAAGGAGAACGCCGCCGCCAAGTTGCAGGCCAAGACCGATGGTGTCAAGGTTAACTTGAAGAGACAGCCCGCCATGCCCCGTGAGGCTCGCTTCGTCACCATCAAGCACAACATCCCCACCACCCTCAACCCCATCCCCTACGACAGTAAGTCTCCTCTTTATGTTTCCCTGACGAGTGCTTTCTGTTTGAACCTGTTTATGATAACAATACCAATGTGCTAACTCTTGTGCCTGTTTCTTTGTCTCTTTTTCTTAGCCCTTGTCTAAATGTTGACGGGAATTGGTTTTTTGTGTGCGGAAGCGATGCAAATAAACGAGCAGAATGTTTCCATCGAAAGCAAAACAGAGCAACAACGTTGCAACTCTTTTTAATTATTGTGGCAGCGAATTTTTTTTGTTGTCATTTTTAAGCCTCTATGTTCTATGTGTACGCTGGACAACAACTTTGTGTACTACGACAGCGAAACGTGGCGACCGTGAGCAGAGAGAGACCTTGCTGGGCTGTTTATAGGTATGTTGAGTACATGTTCTAGTTTGAACAGTTCAGAGAAGACAAGGAAAGCCAGGCTGGGTTGGCATTGTTGTGGAATAGAGAAAGGGGGAATTGTTAACAAATCAATTAGGGGATGGTATGGTCCGGTTTTTCTTTGTATACGCAAAATTCACACCCCCTTCCTTCCTTTCACCATTAACAACATTACACACTCACAATACTCCCATACCAATGCCGACACTCCTTTCCATTCTCGGACAGGGTCGAGTCCCCTTCCTCTCACTCCCTTCCTCCCGTTTTTGTATCCTGTTCGTTCACACCGCTTTCTTTTTCCTCTTTTCTTCATATTTTTCTTCCTCCACTCACTCCACTTCTCCTTCACTGTTCACGCACACACAACAAGGCAGAAAAAGTGGCAACCATGGCGAAGAAACACAACTCGCCAAAAAAGTCAAAGCAGAAGAACAACAACCAGGGCGGCGTTAGTATCACCAACCCAGCGGTATTCTCACCCCAGGATGGATCGACATCACCACAAATAAATGAGAACGACAGCAGCGGTGGTCTCCTTCGCTCGACTTCTTTCGCTTCCTCCCACGCGTCGCTGTCTTCCTTGACCGACTTGGACCATGAGCCGTCAGGACCATTGGCCGAGGCTAAACAGCAGCTTTCGTCCTCAGAGAAGACCAAGAAGCCATCGCCCGCGGTGACCGCTCGCCAATCTCGCCTTTCTCAAATGCAGCGCCAGTCCCAGGAGACAGAAGGCGATGATCTGTGGTCGTGGATTACTGCGACACATCCCTCTGTGCCTTCTCCTCGTTCTGCTCCCACCAGTTTGGACCCCGCCTCTAAACATCAGCATCAGAATGACGATGACGGGACTCAAGAAAGGAAGCAGGCAAAGTCATCGTGGTATGAGACTCAACGACAAGAGTCCTTGCGCCTTCGTGGTCGAGACTGGGTTACGCTGAGTGCGCTCACAGTCGCAACCATGTCGGTCCGTCTCTGGCGCATGGATGCGTCTCCCGCTGAGGTCGCGTAAGTATTTATTTCACTTCTGACTGTATTATTATCAGGCTTGACATGCCACAATCATGCTGGGGGTTGTGTTTCCACAACTCAATAAACTAACTCACAAAACTATTCTCTTGGATGGATGGCTCGTGCGTTGTTGTTGTTCAGCCTGGATGAGGCTTACATCGGGAAGTACGTGAATGGGTACTTGAACAAGGCGTTCACATACGACATCCACCCTCCTCTGGGGAAGATGCTCCTGGCCGGGATCAGCTCTCTTTCTGGAAAGTATGACGGATCCTTTCCTTTCGAAGAAGTTGGCGAGTAAGTCTTTCCTTTCGTTCTCCTTTCGTTCTCCTTTCGTTTTTTTTGAGTTTTATCAACCTATGCATATGTAAAGCAAAACTTTAATCGTGCAATACGTCTTTACATGTGATTGTCGCAGTGCATTCGGTAACAAGGTGCCGTTCCTGGCTATGCGCACAGCGGTGGCTGTCATGGGAGCTCTCTGTGCACCCGTGGCCTATATTACCCTCAGGAACAAAGGCCAGAGCGCCCCCACTGCCATCCTGGCCTCCCTCCTCGTCGCCTTCGGTACTATTTTGCAACTAAGTGAATCCCTGGTGCATTATTGTATTTCTCCCATCAGTGATACACAGACTGACGAATCATGTCAATGCTTTTTTGTCGCGAAATAGATAACGTGTTGGTGGCGAATAATAGGTTGATGTCACTGGAGGCACCCCTCATATTTTTCACTGCCCTATCGTTCATGTCCTGGACCATATTCACCAAACGGTCCCAGAGGTAATCCACTATCTTCGTTTTCTTTTTCTTTCGTTACTATTACCAGTACTGTACGGAGATGGGGCAGGCAGATTTGCATATGCTAACCCAATCCTGTTTTGTCACCATGTAGACCGTTCGGAGTGCAGTGGTGGTTGTGGTTGCTCATGACGGGATTGGCGGCCGGGGGAGCCATGTCGACCAAACTGCCGGGAATTTTGACTGTTCTCACCATGGGTATCCTTGCAGGATGGGATATGTGGGGTCTCATCGCAGACGAGTCCGTCAGCTCTGTAAGATGTGTAGTTTTTCTTACTCGTCCGAGGCTTTTTTACTTTGTCAAAAAAGCGCATTTTTACCCATATATGTATGCCACTTTTCTTACTAGACACTATGGGCAAAGCACTGCATATCGCGTTTTACAACCTTGGCAGTCCTCCCAAACATCGTCTATACATCGATCTACTACCTTCACTTTCAACTCCAGTCCAACCAACCCTACTATGGTACCTCTGTCCACGGCGACTACGACTTCACCCTCCTCACCCCATCCTTCCGTCACTCCCTCCAATCCCCCTATATCGAGGATCGACAGGAACCTGTCTGGAGCGACATAGTCTTTGGATCCGTCATCCAGCTCCAATCTGAATCCCAGCCCCCATGTATGTCCACTCGCCCTTCAAGCAATGGCCCAAGGGGTCCAAACAGATCCAGGTGGCAGCGTACGAGTACCCAGATCTGAGTAATCATTGGATTGTTGTACGTGCCAATTTATCCAATGTGCCGGATGTTGAGGGTGTGGAGGCAAAGAGAGTTTTTGGCGAGATTCCGGAGCGGTTAGAGCATGTTTATCATGGAGACTGGATCCGATTGAGACATGTGGCGCATCGTCATTGTATGCATTCGCATGATGTCCGCACCATGGGGCGGATCAACAACAAGCGACACTGTGAGGTTAGCGCGTACGGGTTGGCGGCGAATGACTTTGATGGCGATCGCGGGGATTGGTGGAGGGTTGAGATTGTGAATACAGATATGATGAGGACCGTGTCGAGGAAGGCTCAGGGGCTGAGGGTGAAAGCGCTCGAGACTGCGTTTCGGTTGAGACATTATTCGCAGCATTGTCATTTGCATCTAACAGGGGATCTGTTGGAGGATTCTGTACCCGGTGGGGAGGGGAGAGTTGAGTTGTCATGTTTGAAGGATGCCGCTGTTCTTTCGAGCTCTATTTGGCGCTTTTCCATGAACGATCATGACTACCGTAAGTGCGGTTTTCATCTTTACCTCGTGTAGGTATGAATGCTCCATTCTTGGTATATACACTGACAACGCCAATATTTCTTTTCCACGATAGTCCCAGCGGAGACAGAGCTAGCATCCTACCCAAGGGTATCATTTTGGAAAAAGTTCAAAGAACTCCATTCCTTGATCCTAACAACACCTCGCGCTTTCGACATGAACAAAGCCGTAGACGAGCGTACTGACTCCTCTCGCCCCTTGAGCTGGGTCCTTAAATCTATTGGGTCTTCTATCCTCCTAGCTTGGCGAAGCAAGGTCGAAGAGAGTGAGATGGTTGCTGAGGATAAGGGACAGGGCCATGTACGCCAGATCTCGTTGGTACCTAACCCGGCTAGTTGGGTTATTAGGAGTGCGGGGTTGGTGCTGTTTTTGGGGTTTCATGTCCTTTCAGTGCTCAGGTATCAGCATGGATTTTCTGATAGCCAGGACCTGTTAGGTATGTTTTTGAGTTATTGATATGTTCTACTGAGGTCACAACCACCCTTACACTTTTTTTCTAACCATCATCACCTATTTTTTTTCTGGAATGTGTGGATAGCGTTCAAACAACACCACTTATCAAACGCCGGAACATTCTTCTCGGTATGGGCCTTCCACTTCCTCCCCTTCCTCTTCCTAAATCCTACCACCTACCCCTCAATCCGCCTCAACTACCGCGACTACTTCCCAGCACTCTATTTTTCCATCCTCCTCGCCTGCACCATCCTCTCGGGAATCATGCGCCTGTCCACCATGTCCCGCTTCACTCGTGCTGGCATATACCTCTCCCTCTCCCTCATCGTCATTTCGGCATTCATCCAACTGTCGCCACTGACATACGGCACACTTATGTCCCCCGAAAAGTGTGCCGCCCTTGCGACGAAAATTAACCCAAAGAAGATCCCCGACCCCCGGTACGCCGGCGTCGCAAAGGGGACACCTATCCCCTTAATCCAACCAACACTAAAACTCACCTGCATGACTTGGTCCCAACACCTCTCCACAACCCCCCTCCCCCCTACCAACACATCCGCCCCCGAAACCTTTTCCGAATTCAAGACCCGAACCGAACTCCTCGTCCCCAAACCCATCCCTCGGAAACGGTCCCCCGTCCTGGAGAGTATCTTCCCAGATAAGGAGATGGCGTTGCCGATGGAGAAGGTGTTTATGACGCCATGTCAGAGACCCCCGCAGTTGTGGGAAGTTAATGAACAAAAGGGCGAGCCGGGTGCGTTTGTGAAGCAGCAGATGCAGTTTATTTTTAAGAGGATTGAGAAGGAGGCGGCTGAAAAACGGGCGCTGGAGGAGGAGGGGGGGAGAGGGGAAGCAGCGGAGGAGGATTGAAGCTGAGGCGAAGGAGGAGAAGGCAAAGACAGAGAAAGTGAGGGTTGAGAAGGAGCGACAGGAGACAACCGCCGCGGAGGAGGAGCAACAGCGGTACCAGGAGGAGTTGAAAGTTTTATTCGGAGAGCAGTCACGCTTCCAGCAAATCGAGGCAGAGAAACAACGCAAGGCTGAAGCGGTCGCGGAGGAGCTCTTCAAGGAGGCCGAGACAAAGAAAGCCGCCCACAAGGCCCAACAGGAGCAAGAAGAATCTGGACGCCAACGATTTCACCGCCAAAAAGTGGCCTTTGTGGCCTTTGACGCCGCTGCCAAGGCTGCCGAGGTCGCTGCTGCCTCCAAGGTTGCAGAACACGCTGAGAACAAGAAGAAGGTTCATGAGCAGGAGCAGAGGGAGCAAGCCAAAGTCAAGGCCGGCGAGCAAGCCGAGCCATCAAGAGTTCCGCGAGGCATTCTTCAAACGCGCCGAAAAGATGCGCTAGGAAAAACTGGATCAAGATTTCAAGTTTAAGCGAGGAAATGCGAACGAGTCGATCCCGAAGGAGATGCGGATGGTTGCAGCTCTGATGCCGGCGGCGGGAGAGTTGGGTGGCGTCGGTGGTGTGAGAGGCAACCATGCGGTTGCTGCGGGGTTGGGGGCGCTTTTTGGAGGGTTGGGTGGGTTTGGTGAATTAGGCAAGCAGGTGTTCGATCAACAGCAACAACAACACAATAAATCTCATACAGGAACAGGATCTGCAGCGAAACCAGCTCAGCCCATCAAAAAGGCACCACCAACAAAGCCCGCAAGACAAGCACAGAAGGCACCACCACCAGCCGGAAACGTCGAGAGCGTCGAGAACCTCATCACTGTCCTCCAACAGGCCCAAAAAGACACCGACTCCAAACCCGCACCCCACCACTGTCAGCAACCATCAATCCCAAAGGAGCTCCTGGACGAGATCACAGGACTAGAGAAAATGACGAACGACCGGGAGGCGTCCCCTGAGGAGCTATTGGACCAGTTGGGAGGGCTCGTGAATGTGATGGCGAAGCAGCAGATGAATCTGGGGATTGGGGCGGGGGATTTGGGCAAGTTACAGGCGGAGTTGGAGAATTTGGTGAGATCTTGAAGGAAAGGGAGGAGCTTGAGAAGATGAAGAAGAAGCGCAAGTGGTAGAAGGATTATGCTTGCGAGAATGGGTGTGCATGTGGATTGTTTTTCTGTCCTCTTTCCCGTGCAGCATACAGCAGCGGGACGAGAATTGGACAAGGGGTCCATGTAACAAAGTCAAAAGCGTATGTATTCGTTCTTTTCCTTTTTCTTGCACGCAAATGCACATACACATACACACACTCTTCTCCTTCTTGTCGTCGTCCTCAATCAGCAACAACTCCCTTCTTACACATACCAACACTCAAATCAACATCCACTTCTGCCCATTCTGCGATTGCTCATTCCGACTGAGCGCCATTCTTTCTTTTAAGAACGCATCAACAACACGAGAACACAATCAGTCTCGCGTTGGGAGTAAGTAGATATCTCACTGTTCTTCATCAGATTCCTCTCGCATTCGAAATCTACATCCTAACAACAGAAGAACAGTACCCCTCTTTGACAGGAAGATTTCTCCAAGATATAACACGCAGCAAGCGTTAATAAGCAAAAGGCAACATCTTAGAATCTCTCTTTCTAAAACTCACTTTTCTCCTTCGCCCTTTGTCGTTTTTTCTTCATGTTTATAGCTTCTCTATTTTCCAGGGACCTCTTGCGTACGACACATTGCCAATCGACCACCCAGGCAGGATCGTTATAACAAGTCACAAGCTTAAGGTAAAGACAGAACGACAAGGTTGGCTTTCGTTATTGCTGGTGTAGGCCTCTGTTGTGTTCTCATTGCTCACATTTATTTTCCAATGACCTTGCAGGGCATCACTAGGACGACGACCATGGATGCGGACAATGATTTCAACTACAACTACAACGCCAACCAACTCGCCAGGAAGTGTGATAAACTTACTCGGCAGGACCACGACCTCTCAGGCGATCATCGCTCAGTGTCCTCAACAACTCCCACATACACACTCCATTCACACTCACTAGAGAGTATGTCTGAACCGGTCATCAACATCGATTGTGCTCTTCCTCAAAGTCATATCGAGTGGACCCAGCAATCAACTCACTGGAACGAGCCGAGCGCCGATGATCAGGCGATGTTGGCTGCTGTTGTTGCTACCGAGGAATCGATGGAGGAGTCTACCAATTCTGTCGAGTATGGCTTGCAGTCCCTCAAAATCCGACGACTAAAGGAGTATTGCCAGCCAGTCTACGTCCCTCCCATGGCCAAGGCCAACCTCCAAGGTCACGATAATATCTTCTTTTCCCTTATGGACAAGGCTCGGAAATTCTTGGCGAGCAACCGCCAGGTCATGTTGATACTTGGCGACTCAGGAGCAGGAAAGTCAACATTCAACCGGCACCTGGAACACTACCTTTGGACCAACTACAAAAACGGTGACCCCGTCCCACTTTTCATCAACTTGCCGACTATCCGAAAGCCTCAGGACGACATGATCGCGAAGCAGTTGTGCATCCACGGCTTTACTGACGACCAGATCATGGAGATGAAGCGATACCGCGAGTTCATTCTCATATGCGACGGATACGATGAAAGTCAACTTGTCGTCAATCTTCACAAAACAAATCGACTAAACCAGCTGGATGAGTGGCGTTCCAAAATGATCATTTTGTGCCGGACCCATTTCTTAGGTGCTGTTTACCGTGATCGTTTCGTGCCTCAGCCTGTGGACCATTACCGACCTAGTCGACCTGATCTCTTCCAGGAAGCAGTAATCGCATCCTTTTCCAAGGAACAGGTCCACGCCTATGTTGCCTGTTATGTACCGCTGGAGCCACGACCATGGGTCGCCGCAGACTACATGCGCATGCTTACCACAATCCCCAACCTCATGGACCTGGTCAAGAACCCCTTCCTATTGACGCTAGCGTTGGACGCCTTGCCAGGTGTTATCAAGGACCGGCAGGAACTGTCGGCCATAAAAATCACTCGCGTCCAGCTCTACGATTATTTCGTTGACCAATGGCTCGGTGTCAACATGCGACGGCTCCAAAACAGCGTCTTGGGCAAGAACGATCAGGAGGTACTGGCGGAATTAGTCGAGGTGGGCTTTATCTCATTGGGTATCGACTATGCAATAAGACTTGCTCGGGCTATCTTTGACAAACAGGACGGAAACCCAGTGGTCCAGTATGTCCATTTCAGTGACAAGGATTCGTGGAGGGCAGAGCTCTTTGGACCGCAGCCAGAGGCTCGACTCCTTCGCGATTCCAGTCCACTGATGCGCACCGGCACTCAGTACCGATTCGTTCACCGATCTATGCTGGAGTACTTTTTCTCGCGTGCCATGTATAATCCTGCCACTCCTGGAAGTCACAATGAGCTTTCTCCTCCGCCCGACAAGAGTTCCCCTCATGTCAGGTTGTTCGACGCCGAAGGCCCGCTGTTCAAGTAGAGCCTCATGTCGGAACATTCGGTCATCCAGTTCCTGTGCGAGAGAGTAACGCAGTGCCCCAATTTCAAGCGCGGGCTCCTTGACGTTGTCTAACAGTCCAAAATAGCTCCGAGTGCGACTCTGGCAGCAACCAACGCCATCACCATACTCGTCCGAGCAGGAATCCAGATGAATGGGACTGATTTCCGAGGGGTCAAGATCCCAGGGGCTGATCTCTCGGGCGGCCAGTTTGATTCGGCACATTTTCAGGGCGCCGATCTGAGAGGCGTCAACTTTGCGAGGAGTTGGTTGAGACAGGCGGATTTTAGCACCGCGCAGATGGAGGGCGTTCGGTTTGGAGAGTAACCGTATCTGGGTACAGGCGACTATATTACGTCCTGTGCATTCTCGCCAAATGGACGTGTGTTGGCATTGTCCTTATGGGGTAGCGTGAGGTGTTTTGACACCACCACTTGGCCGAGTTCGGAAATTTGGAGTCTTAGCCTGGGCGAGCATGAGAGAGCCTTACCCGTTACCTTTTCATCCGATAGTACGCAGGCTGTGACAAGAAATCAAGATGGTACTTGTACTATCCGGGTGTGGGATCGTGCCAGCAACCAGATTCGTAGGACAATATGGGGGGACGGAGACGTAAAACCTGCAGAGGAGATGGCGATTTCGCCCTGCGGCAAGCGAATTGCGTCATCAAGCGGACGCATTCTATGCGTATGGAATGCGGAGAATGGCGAGAAGTTGCTTGAGATGGGTGGTCATATCGGGGTGATTAGGAGCGTGAAGTACTCACCGGACGGAAGTCGACTCGTAACAGGCGATGGCGAGAGAATTCGGATTTGGGTTGTGGCGACTGGACAGGTTGATGCTGTGTGGCGGGTTTCTTGTGGACCCGTGCTTTGTCTTGACTATTCACCAAATGGTCAACATCTCGTCTCTGGTCATGAGAATGGGAGTCTCCAGGTTTGGGATCTAACCTCCCGAATGCCTGGCCCAATCTTGCATGGACATACTAGATCCATTACCGTCGTCGCATACTCACCTAGTGGTCAATGGATCGGATCTTCAAGCTTCGACCACACACTACGGCTCTGGGATGCCGCAACAGGAACCTGCTTATCTGTCTTTTTCGGCCACACTCGCCCTGTCACCTCGTTGTCGTTTTCTCCAGACGGTGTTCATATTGCTTCAGGAGGTGAGGATGGCAAGATGCGAGTCTGGGAGACGGACTCCAGCGAGCATAGCATTCCGTCCAATGGCCATACCAACACCATTTACAAAGTCGCGTACTCTCCCGATGGGCTTTATGTTCTTTCTGGCAGTGACGATCGAACCGTACGACTTTGGGACTTGCAGCATGACATGCGTGGATCGATTTTGTTTGAGGCCTCAGAATGGATCAGCTCAATGGCGATTTCTTTGGACGGCCTCCATTTCGCAACAAGCAGTAACGGTGCAACCATCCAGCTACGGGATCTTCCGTCCAATAGCAGCATCATCGAAAACCGAACATTGCAAGGACACACCAAGAATGTGATCGATTTCGTCTACTCGCCCTGTGGTCGCTGGATCGCCTCCTGCAGCTGGGATAAGTCTGTCCGATTGTGGGACCTTGACTCTGAAATCGTTCTGCACCATGTCCTTTCACAATTGCCATCGAACACGGACGACAGTATCAGCCGCTTGGCGTTTTCTCCGACTGGGCTTCAGCTCGCGACCGGGGATTCGTCTGGCAGAGTTCGCGTGTACGATGTTCAAACTAGACGCCTTCTGAACTCGATGACGGTTCAAGAACCACTGGGATCAGCTTCTACTTACTCGCCGCCCAGTCTATGGGACTACGAGACATATGACCCTGGTTCCAGACTGGATAGACCCTCTCCGATTTCAGCAATAGCTTATTCGCCCAATGGCCAACAAATCGCCGTTGGCACCTCAAACGGATTGATTCAACTGTGGGACATTGTGCCGAACAGATTTGGTGCCAGGCTGGACGGACACAAGAGCTTGGTCGGTTGCTAGGCCTACTCTCCTTGCGGTGGTTGGATCGCCTCCGGTGGGTTCGGCAATGCAGTCCGACTCTGGCGTCGTCACCAGCAGCGGCTATCACATCAACAAGACACATGGTCGTGTACTGCTATTGTCCGCGGGTTCTTTGGATCCGTTACCAGTGTCGCCTGGAACCCGACTGTACCACTGGAGTTTGTCACCGGCTGCCGAGATGAATCCGTTCGCGTCTGGCGAATCAAGAGCGATTCTGGGGAGGAGGACGATGACGATGATGTCGTCGTTACCGTTAGGCAGGTCTGGGGCTCGAACCTTGGAAGATTGTGCGTATCGGAGCTGACGTCCAAGGATGCTGCAGGCCTTAGTTCGACCTGCCAGACGTTATTGGTCCAGCGGGGAGCTCTTGATAGCAACGGTGTTGATGAAGTTGGTTCGAAGGATGGAGATGAGCCCCTGACACCTGCGTTTTTTTGGTGATGGTAGGAGAATAGAGCAATAGTTGGAGAAAAAAACAATTCCAAAGCATTGACCTTGCCTCGTTCCAAGAATTGTGCATTGTTGCTGATTATTATTTTACGGTGGAGGAAGAGGGCGAAAAAAGGTAAGGGTAAACTCTAACTGAGCCTGCAGTCGGCACGATGGGGAGTATGAAGATAAAATAATAGCCAGGCTGGTGGTATGCTAGGGTACAACGGTATGAGGGCGACCAGAATTGATGACAGGCGCGTGAGGGTGATTGGATTGAGCACCTGTATGGGGTGCACCAATGTCCTGATACAACACCACCGAACGTTGCTGATCCGGGTGGTTTGGTCGTCCTTCCGGAGACCGAGGAGATCCATGACTTGACAGTGGTTGTTGTTGGTCCTGAATCAACCCTTCTGGGGACCTGACTAATATCCCGGCTTGACTGAGAGGCATCGACCTTGACACTGTTGCTGGCACATTTCCAGAGCTGAGTTCGGTTGTGACAGGGATGCGCGGAGGGACGGGCGGCGGAGGAGAAGTAGGATTGTAAACCACAGGCCCTTGCTCCGGGTAGGGCTGAAAGATCACTGGTTGTGTTGGTATTGTTGATGATGTTCCTGGAGGGTAGTAAGTGGGTGGTTGGTATCCGTACACGGCATCCTGGGCATGCTGGCTCTTGAGTTCCTCTACTTGGCGTTGTAGGGCTGCTTGTTGTTTCTTCTGGGCTTCGAGTTGTTCGCGGAGGGTTTGGAGTTCTTCTTTTTCTTCCTTGAGTGATTTGTTGCTGGGTGTCCCGTATCCTGTGGCGTGGAGTTTTTCTATTGCGCTGGTGCCGTCGTTGTTATTGGTGCGGTTGGTGGTCGACAGGTCTTTTCCGGAGGCTGAACTGTCATCACGTTGGCGGTGATCCTGTCGTCGTCGTCGGAAGAGAAACAACACAACTCCTGCAACCACAACCAACCCTCCAACAATACCTCCCACAATAGCCCCCACATTCGCTCCCCTACCGCCACTACCATCTTTATCAGTGGAAGAAGGATCTGCACCAGCCGAAGTCGTCGCCGACGGGTTCAAGTACTCAGCCGGTGGGATATACCCCTGCACCCAAGTATCATTCCCCATATTATAAACCAACACATCTCCTGAGGCGACAGTCTTGTTGGCCGCCATGCCGCCCCAGATGAGGAGTTGGTCTCCGGCGATGGTGCAAGTTGCGTAGGCGCGTGGTTCTCCGGCTTTGCCTTTTGTCCAAGTTTGGCTGATGGTGTCAAACATGAAGATTTCGCCGCTCATAGCGGATTTGTCGTTGGGGCTTCCTCCGTAGACTACCATCCTTGTCCCGTTTTCGTCTATTGACGGAACATTAAGTTTGAGTTTGTTAGACGGGTTGTAGTATTGTGCTGGGTGGGGTGAATGGGCTAAGGGAGTAAGGGAAATGGAGGAAAGGGAAACGTACTGATGGTCATGCAGTGGTCTGCTCTCAACGATGGTGGCTCTCCCATTGTTTTCTAGACACAAGAACAAAATAATGTCGTTAATTGCTTAAACACCACAGAAAAAAATATGATGCAAACTCACATACCCTACATATAGCCCAATTACACTAGGAGGGGGATTTTTTTTTGGTGCGCCATCTTACCATTGTGGACCAAGTCTGGTTAGAAGGGACAAACTCAGTAATGTCCGGACTAATAGGCGCCGGCTGCGTCTCAAGCGCATACCCTCCAAAGTAAAGAATACTCCTCCGAGGTTGACACCACACGTTGCCATAATATGTCCTTTGCGCCAAGGAGGTCGTCGCCGGCGGGAGGGGTAACTCTGACATGGCGTCCTTGTCGACATTATAGACATCCACAGACCGCTCGTTGATATCCGTATACCCTCGAGCAATGTATACAAGGCCAGTGTTGGGATCTGTGACGGCCCCGACGCCCTCACGGTACCCAAATGTCAAATTGACCTTTGAAGGCGACCAGTTCCCAGAAGCGACGATATAACGTCGGATGTAACTTGGTTCCCCCGCCCTGAAAACTATCATTGATTTTTGGTTTTTGGAGAATGTAGCGGGAAAGATACGTTGTTCGGGCCCGGAGGTGAGGCGTGTCCATGCTGGGGAGGAGGCGTTCCAGGCGAGGGTGAGATCGAGGGAGAAGAATTGGCCGAGGGGGAGGGTGTTGTTGGCGGTTGAAGGAAGGCCGCCGAGGATGTAGAAACGGGTTGTTGCGCGGGCGGAGCCTGCGCCAGTTACTGGGACTGGCCCCGCGTCAGGGCCTTGTGATGGGAGAGATGAGGGTGTGGGGGTTGATGTTCGGGTTGAAGATGACTGGGCAGAGACGATGAGAGGATGGGCGGAGAGGAGGCATGCGAGTGTGGTGATGATTAGGGTGGTTGGCACCCATTGTTTCCGGAATCGTGGATGTGATTGATGCATTTCAAATGGGCCGTTGTTCGCGTTGATCGTTTGGAAGGTTGTGTGTGATGTGTCGATGGGTTGATGATTATGAGGTATGAATGAATGACCAAGAAAGAAGAGGGAGGTGGAGAGGAGAGCTCTACCAGGGAAAGAAGTGAAAAGCGAGCTCTATTATTATTTTCTTGTGTCCAGAGTCGAAAGGAGAAAAAAAAGACGGCGTGAGTAAGAAAGCGCAGGAGGATGTGCATCTCCCAATTATTGAGCCCAAATTTGGTACCATTGATCACCTGTCATAGCGGCGTTGTTGGACCTGGAGTAATGTTGTTGTTGTTTTGATGACGAAAGTGAAGTAGGACTAGCTTATTGCAATTGGGACAAGAGTGCCAAGTCTGGTGGGGGTAGGGTGGTGAGGGCGTTGCATGGATAAGACTGATTGAACGCTGGAGTCCCGGTACCAAAAACCTTATCAGAAACAAGCACTGTCCTCTTCATTCCACCACCAACAAAAAGTGAGACACCACGCGTCAAGATAAAAGGAGTTTTAATACTTATCTGATTGATGCAGTTGATATTAAATGTAGGGGATTGAGGAGAGCGTTACGACTTTGAGAGACAGGCGTATGAAGGTGACGAGACCGAGTGGCTTCAACAACATCATCTGGCTGCAACAGCTCTGAGCTCAAAACTCTGGGTCCTTCCTTGAACGTACGCTGACAGGTGTCGGAGACTTCGAGGAAGGGTCGTACACAATGATAATGATGATGTCCACTCGCACCCAGACACAGCTGGTGTAGGGGGTCGTGATCCTGAATGTCGACGCTGTGGAGCACTCAAAAGATTCTTGGGTTTGAGGCGCATCTAAATGAGTGGTAGCATTGGCGGCACGAAAATGGTTCATTTTCTTTTATGAATGGGCGTAAACAACACAAAGAAAACTAGCGAAGATATTTTGTTAGTTGACTTGCTCACACATACACACGCATAGCGAGAAAGAGGGAGAGAGGCATGGGCTAAAAGGGGAGGGAGGGAGCTTTTGTAATCGTTGTCACCTCTCGTAATGAGCTGCACGCTGGTATGCTTACGAGACATGTTAGTGTGGCGAGGGAGGTGATACGTTGAAAGTGTTGCTTGCGTAGAACTACCTCACGTCTCTTTCAGTCTGGCGTCCTACCATTGATCATGGAATTTGCACGTTCACCTTGTGCTCAACAGAAAATGTGCACGTGACTTATGCTGTAGCTGTGAGTGAAACCCTTTTTCATAATTTTTTTTTTCATCGCGATCTCATTTTTATCGAATGGTTCTTTTGGTGGCACTCACTCACTCACTCAGAAGGATGTCTTGGATTTAGACTGGACCGGTGACAATGCTCGAGGGAAGAGAGAAGGAAGGCTTGAGGGAGAAAGAGAATTTCCTCTTGCTTCCTCCCTTCTCTTTTTTTTCCTCTCTCTCTCTCTTGTTCCGCCTCTTTCCGGCCTTGCTCTGACCTACCCCTAACTCCAACTCTCTTTTTTCAAATACTCTGTGATTATCGATCCCTCCTTTGACAACGACCCTGTACAGATCAACGCATCAACACTCCAGTTCACATCAGACACCACTTCCTTCTTCCTCTCCTTTCCTTTTTTTCTTCTCCCCTTCTCTCTCTCTCTCTCTCTCGCCCTTACTCTACCCCCTCGCACCTTTCAACCTCAACAAGTATTACCCTCACCTACCACAAACCAGAGTAAAACACACTATATCATCACCTGTATCTCACCCAGCAAATGGTCGCTTCTGCAGTTCCAGTCGACAAGCACGATTCTCACGGCAAGGAACACTCTACCACCACCACTGCTGCTCATGTCCCAGCCGCAGCTGCCCCAGCCACTCCCTTGGTGCCCTCGGTTAATGTATGGAGTGCCCGTAAGGAGGCGATGAAGCCTTCTGCTGAGGCGGATGCCGAGAGGCGTGTTGAGTCCATTATCGAGAACATCAAGGAGGTCACCCTCGGTAAGTTATGGCGCTTTTTTTTGTTTCTGTTCATTTAGTGTTCCGAGCATGCAGGTAGCCGGCAATTTATCCGAGCGGGGGAGGGTGGAGGAGATCGCACATAGTGCAACAAGAAAAAAGAAGGACGACTTTTGTCCCATACTTCATTTCCCATCCTACCCAAATGGATGTCCTCATCCATTGTTATCGACTGTGGGAAAAAAATAGAAGAGAGGGTAGATCCACTGCCACCAAAGAAACCGCTATGAGATAGAGGGAGAAAGTAAAGAGAAAGAGGGGTCACAGGCAGAGAAAAGGATAAAAAGAGAAAGGGAAAAAATTTCTTTCACTGTTAGAATGAAACCGACTGGGCCGGGACAGGAGGGATAGAGTGGTAGAAAAAAAGCCATTTCTACACGTGGGGACAGTAACGGAGTCCGTGTGGGTTGTCTTTCTTTAATACCTTTCTACAATGAGGAGATACATCATGGTCATATCGGATAATATGTATGGAGGCAACTACGGCTGTGAAGGAATAGGACAGAAAAAGAAGAAAATGAATAATAAAGACAAGGATAAAAAAGGAGCTGTAATCACTAACCCCTCCCTCCGACCCCAACGTACCAATCTTCAGCAGACGCAAAGGAAGACGGCAAAAAGTCGAAGAAGAACAACAAAAAGGGCCAACAGTCGATCCCCGCCCTCGACGACACCAACGTCTGGCCAGACCCAAGTGCTTCGGCCGAGAGGGAGGCCAAGCCCGAGTCCGTCTCCGCAACTGCTCCCATCAACAAGAAGGACAAGAGCAAGTGGACCCAGTACACCCCCAACATCACCCATGCAAACCCTACCCCCAGCAGTGGTGGTAAAGGACATCATCACCATCACCATCACCATCACCAGGATTCCAATTCACACCAGAACAGCAACCCTCGTCGTCGCAAGAACTCGACTCCCGGTGAGGGCAAGGCAGACACCGCTGCTACCCCTGCTGCTGCTGCTCATCCAAGCGGACCAGCTGCCCCTCAGGGACGTCGTGCCTCGGTCCCTGCCATGTTTGATGACGAGCCCTCCCAGAGCCAAGGCAAGAACACCCGCCAGTCCTCCAACCGTGGTCGTAAGTGGTTTATCCCTTTGTGATGGACAGTTACATATTCACCTTCGTCACTGATCGACAGTACACTGACCAACAACCTTGTTTGTTTTGATGTTAATATTTACTGATCAATCTAAGGTGGCGGCAAGTCCAACGGAGGACGTCAAAATTACCGTGCATCAGTCGGCAACGTCTCCCAGATGTACCAGCAGCACGGTCTAAACAACGATCCCGAGGCATTAAAGTCATTTATCCTCCGTCAAATGTAAGCAATTCGTCTATTCGCTCGCCCTTCTCTGCAAGAAAAAGGCAATGTTTGGCCGTGTCTCTCTAACCTATTCCATTTTTTGCGTCTGGTTACATAGGGAGTACTACTTTTCGGTCGAGAATCTGTGCAAAGATGTCTATATGCGCAAGCAGATGGACGACGAGGGATACGTCCCCCTATCCTTGGTTGCCAACTTCAACCGTGTCAAGTACCTCACCACAGACCACGCTCTCATCAAGGATGTACTGAAGATCAGTAAGGAGATCGAAACAAAGGGAGACAAGATCCGTCGTAGAGGCGATTGGGCCACCTGGGTCTTCCCCAAGGAGGACGGCGCTGTCCCTTTCTCGACCCACCGCAGCTCATATATCCCTCCACCCCGCTCACCTCACCCAGTCACCATATCATCATCCCTCCCTGTCAAGTCAGCGATCCCTGCTCCTTCTTCGACCTCGACCACTGAGGACGACTGGCATGTCAAGCAATCTAAATCCAAGAAACGTGGCTCGGTTTCTCATCCTTCTCCGGCAATCCAGCCTGAGCCAAAGTTCCTCGGTGACGAAGACGACGAGGTGTTCCAGTTTGACGACGACAACTTGGCAGGAGGCGCACGGGAGGGTACCATCCAAAAGTACTATGTCAGTGATGACGATGATGATGACGACGACGAATTTGACGATGACACCGTTGCCAAGATCTTGATTGTTACCCAAAAGAAACGCGACCGCTCCCACGGTTCCTATGAGCGCAAGGCTATGAACGACGACATCAACGATATGATCAACGAGGGTCTCTACCATTACGAGCATGACCTTCAGCGCAAGCGCAACAACAACAACAATCGCAGCAGTCTTGTCCAGTCCAACAAGAAGGTCGAGATGATCTCTGAGGAGCAGTTTGCTGCCTTGACCGGCTCTCATCCCCGTCGCGGCAGCTCCAGTCTGAGCTCTAGCTTGAACAAAAACAACAACCAAGTAGGCGGAGACAGCAACAGCCAGCGCCGAGGCAAGGGCAAGGACAAGAACCAGGCTCCTCGATTCTACCCCTTGAAGGGATCCCAGAGTGCCAAGGGAGGCAAACAGGATTCCCGTCTACACTATGCCCAGGCAGCCGTCGGATGGGTCTTGGGCGACCAGGCCTTCTTGCAGTCGGACCTTCCTGCCGCTTCGGGCAGCTCTCCAGCTGGCATGTCGATGGGCTCACTTGCCGAATCGTCTCTGCTGTCGACCTCCCTCGAAGCACCTCACTCCTTCCCAGCCTTCCAGCACCCTTCACACGAGCTCCTGCACGAGAACGGTTTCATCCAGCACAAGTACTATAAGTACCACTACAAGGCCCTGAAGGAGCGTAAGCGCCAGGGCATTGGCCACTCGCAGGAGATGAATACCCTCTTCCGGTTCTGGTCCCACTTTCTGCGCGATAACTACAACAAGAAGATGTACACCGAGTTCAAGCGACTGGCGGTCGAGGACGCCAACGCCAACTACCGGTACGGTCTCGAGTGCCTGTTCCGGTTCTACTCATATGGCCTCGAGAAGAAGTTTCGCCAGGACCTGTTCTTGGACTTTGAGGCGTTGACGTATGCAGATTTCCAGAACGGACAGATGTACGGACTAGAGAAGTTCTGGGCGTACTTGTTCTATAGGAAGGATAAGGCCCGTCGCAAGCTGGATGTTATGGCTGAACTGAAGCCGTTGCTGGAGCAGTACAAGACTATTGATGACTTCAAGAGTGCTCATAGTAGCAACCCAAACCCACCCAGCAACCACTACGTCGTGCCCAACCACTAGTTGCTTTTTTTTTTCTTTCTGTTGTACATACTTCTCCTTCTGCTCTCCCATGTCTTTTTTTTCCTAGCACCGACATCATCCACACCTTTTTTTTCTTTTTTTTCTTTTTTTTTTTTTTTTTGCCACCTCTACTACAGTGTTACCCACCCATTCAATTAATAAACAAACACAAACACCAAACATAACCCCTAAATGTAGGTCAAACACGACGTGTGTGTTGTCAAATGAAGCAACTGAGAAAAAAAATGCGAGGCGCATGCCCCACGTCCCTCGGACTGGCTGATTTGACATTTTGCCACCGTTAACTCGCTAATTTTACTTTTTATTCCTTCACCATCAGTTGCCACAAACACAAACGCGCCGCATACAAAGACAGCATGCGTCAAGAGGAGTATTTGAGTTTGTAGCATGCAATCGTGCATGATTGAAAAGGCGCCAACTACAAACGTCAAATGAGATATGCTTTGATACATTTGCTACCTTCCGCGAGCATTCAGCTGAGTGTATAAATGGCGGGTGACAGTTTCTTTTTCTCCTCTTTTCGTCGTTACACTCGTTCTTCCTTCTCATTCATACTTCCTTTCACCGATACATTCTCCTGCAGCCGTTCCTCTCTCCCTCTCTTTCCATCTCTCCCTTTCTTCCTCTCTCTCTCCTACACTCCCTCTAACTTCTATATCAATCTCTCCTTGCTTCTCGTCCTTCTTTTCAACTTTTCAATCCCAACAGCAACAGCAACAACTACAGTAAAAAAATGACACCCACATGCACTCTGGTCTTCGAGATCCCAGAACTGGCCGGTCTGGTCGTATCATTCCTCAGCCCATGGAACATTTCAAACCTTATGCAGACAAGTCGACAGATGCACGCGACCATGGAACCATGGTTCTACCACAACCTGATCACGATCCATCGTACTGGGAAAGTCGGTCTGTTACAGTCACCGGACAGTCTGACGGCCCTGGCAAGAAATTTTCATCACACGAAGCGGTGGGAGACCGATCTTTATTACCTTGTTCAGTTCTTTCACGCCATTACACCTGCTCTTAAACCAGCCGCCGCAACCACACTCGCACTCGGGGAACTGGAGAAAGAGCAGGAACTGCTGCCGCTGCAGGAGAAGGAGCGAGAAGGGAATGATCCTTCAACCTCTCCCACGTATCCATTGCCCGCACCATCATCGCCACTGGCTGCCACTGTCACAACGACCGCGAAGACAACAACAGCACAACAACTCGCCCCCCCAACGGGTACGGATTGGTACATCCCAGTGTCTATGCCACCAATGACCCTCATCACCAAGCTGGATATCTGTCTCGAGTCCAAGGTCTGCAGAATGCAGCCAGCTTGTGACTTTGACCGCTGGAGTCAATATTCCACAATCGACTACCTCTGTGCAACCCTGACGCGCCTCCCGCACCTCCGCGAATTGAGTCTGAGCCAGCTCTCCCTCTGGGACGGTATGAGGGCAAGAGCCTTTGTCTTAACTCTGCGTAAGATGACAAGCCTGAGACATCTTCGGGTTTTGTTATCCCAGTCAGGAATGTCTTCCGAACTCGCGTCGTTGCTTCTCTTTGGTTGTCCGCAGTCGATCAGGAGTCTAGATATTAATAAGGATGAAGAAGAGGGTTCCCTGCAGATGAATCGCATAGACGAGCCCCAAACGACCACCGCCATAATGGAGGAGATCGCCATTATCAAGGACGAGGTCCAGGCCCGAGGAGAAACGACACCATTGATCCATCTTCGAGACCTTCACCTTTGCAACGTACCGACGCTGACGACACACGAGGACCTCTACGCGGTCTTTGGCCGTTGCCCTAATGTCGAGAACCTTCATTTGCGTTGGCAGTTTATCGCCGACACGTTAGATGGTGCTAAGATTGCCAGGATGTGTCCCAAGATCCGTAACATTACCTACTGGAATCCTGCTACTCTGTGTATTGTCGAGGAATGGCCTTACAAGTTGTCGCTCACTCTGCCGGAGCACCAGTTGAAAACGTTCAGGCATCATGGGACCGACACACCTCTCGAAGGCGATTTGGTCGGCCTGGCATTGATGCGGCACGCACGCAGTCTCCAAGACGTGCGGATTCAGAACCGAGTCCCTAGCAAGTCTATCGGGATGATTTTAGAGTATTGTGAGGCGTTGGAGGTCTTGAACGTCCGAGATTCGACGATGGGTCTGGAGGATGCGATTGCCGGTCCGTGGGCCTGTTTGAGGTTGAGGGAGTTACAGCTGGATATCGACACTATGATCCCTCGTAAGCCCTCGTATCTGCGCCCCCCACCATCACGTCGCTCCGCCAAAGAGAAGCAGCTCTTTGACCGCCTGGAGATCCTCTACCGCCAGATCGGAAAGCTGACGAACCTTCGATACCTTCATCTCGGCAACCCAACTCGCAATTACAATAAGCGGTCGACCGAGAAATACATCCAACCGTTCCCGGGATTGTTGAGACTGAGCGACAAAGAGAAGAGGACTGTACCAGGATACCTCGAGCTGTTGAGCGGGTTAACGAGACTGAAAGAGATTCATGGATCGGTAGCTCCAGAGACGCCGTATCACAAGATGGAGGTGGATGCGAAGGAAGTGAATTGGATTCTGGAGCATTGGCCAGAGTTTGCAGAGGCGAGTTTCTTCCCAACGTGGCGTTCGAAGAATCGTCACCCTAGATGGTATTTGTACCGTTGAGTTGACCTTTTTTGTAAGAAAATAGGAGAACAGGTTTGAAACGAATATAGTGAAGCGTTTTTCTGTTGCCCCCAAGACCATGCTATATTGTTAGCGGTGACTTTTCATACGATCCTGTTCAAGAATATTATTTTTCTCTTTTTAACGCGGGGAGCATGTGAATGATTGCGCGAGAGAGTGACAAGAATGAAAATAAGCGGACAATGTCGGGAGATGAAAATGGAAAAGTCATACTTTCATTCCTGAGAGTGGAAGAGGACCGAGTTGTTGAACATATGATGATAACCCGGTATATCGTTATTCACAAGGATAGAGCACTCCTTCTTTTGCCAAAAGGAAGAGAGATGATCGACAGAAGAAGGGTTGTTTGTCTTGATCGCGTTTGATGTTTGATCACTGTATCAGTGTTGATGCCAGTACCAAAGCCCCCGTGCGAGATCAGAAATAGCTTTTTATCACAAATAAATAACGGGCGTCGAAACTGCAGGAGATGTTTCTCTTTGTTTCTCTTCGTCTCTTTTCACTCTTCACATTCCCTTCTCTGTCAACAGCAGCGACGACTCCTCCCCACTCTCTGCATTCTCTTTTTACATCCATACCCATACTCAACACTCCCTCGCCCTCCTTCTCTCATTCATTCATTCAACCCACACACCTCCTTGCTCCCACATTCTCCATTTTTACAAACACATCACCTTTACTTGCACTTCCACTTCCTTCTTACACTCGACAAAGTGACAGCTGTAGCAACATACAAAAACACCATTTCTCATCACATCTTCCATACTCAACTACTCCCTCACACCCATCACACTAATCTGACTAAATCGCCTAGCCCACAGTAAACTCATTCACTACATAAAAAAGAATGGACCCACCAACGACCCGACAACAGCAGCACAGGGCCGTGATTCCCAATACTACCACCGCAGCAGTCAGTTCTTCTCAACAACAGGCAAAACAAAAGCCATTAACCATCCACCCTCCACCACTTTCTCACACTCCAAGTACAACAACAACAAACTACTCCAACCCTCGTCGATCTTCCTCAATATCCTCACAAACTTCAAGCATATTTTCCCATGGCAACAATGGCCTTGTTTCCTCGTCGTCGTCGTCGTCCTTCCTCCCTTCTTCGCCTCTCTTCCGCTCAGGATACAACAAACTAGGTGGCAGCGCAATCGGGATGGGCACCGTTGCCGGATCCATGCCTGGAGCAGTCGGAGTTGGGGTCGGCGTAGGAAGCTCCTTCTCCCCTTTTCTCGGCCAGCAATCACCCTATGGCGCCAGTTTAGGGCGTCGAGGACTCTCTTCCTCCACATTGTCGTTACTGTCCTCCCATCCATCTTCGCCAGTCCCGTCGCCTGCCTCAGGTGCATTCTTTTCAACAGAGACAAGGAACTCGTTCGATATAGAAGCAATTGATGTGAGCGAGGGCGAGGGGGAGCAGGATGTCGTTGCCAGCATTGACGGTGACGATGAGAGCGAATCCTCGGGCTCCGAAGAAGAAGGAGACGACGATCTCCTTAGCATCAGCGGCAGATATGATAGCGACAGTGAAGACCAGGAGGATAGTGGCATCGAATCGTCCCCCATCTCGACATATGACCCCATCCCTGCGGCCAGTTCGGTGTCGTCTTCTGCACCTTCGCCCAGCATGATGGCTGGCCGGCTTGGGGTAAGTAACTTGCAACTCTCGCAGTCCTATATATGCAGTCAGTTTGGTCCCTCTCCTTGCTCTTTCATTCTGTTACTGACTCGCCCATTTTTTTTCATGCGCATGAAAATCGAAATAGTTATATGGCGGAGTGCAGCTGCAGACATATAGCGGAGACAACTTGACGCGATCGCAAGAAATTGGGCGACAAGATCGATCGCAGGATTCACTACAGTCACACGACCAGAGGAAGGACACCGTCCTAGTGCCCGATATGCACGCAGTAACATTAATGACAGCGCCTATGGACAAAGATGAGGAAAGGCTGTTGACAGTCTCTGCGCAGGACACTGACGACAACGACAACGATGCTGCAAGTGTCGGATCTGCACCATCACCAGCCCTTTCGCATTCCACGCCCACATACTCTGCGCAATCAACGACACCCTCCTCTCCTTCCTTGTCCAGCTACCCGTACCCGCTGGACTTCCAATTTACACCCGACTCGCGTCTCCCACCTGCCTTGTCCACGTCTTCTGCCGCTGCTGTCTCTTTTATACCCGATACCCTGGATGGCGCCAGCAACACGTCCGATGTTCTCCTTAACGAACCCGAATCTACGCATCTGCCGTTGACACCCTTGGAGGCACGGATACCTGCCTCAGCAACAAACCTTAATAACCACGCCACACCATTGTCATCTCTATTGGAGCAAAAGGACGAACAGGACAATAACATTGAACCGCACCTGATTGCTGAAGAGAACCTAGACACTGGCACGACTGTTGCACCGGAGTCAACGGAAGCGGCGTACCAAAACGTGGAGGGTTTGCTTGACGAAGGGATCTTTGAGGACGAAGAGGATAGCAGCTACGAGGCCCTTGAAGTCATTGACAAAGCCCAGAATGTCAACACTCAGGAAGCCCTCGAAGCAGAATCGCACCCTGACGGCTACGGATCATTACCCAAGTACAGTACCTATCCAACAACTTTAACACCAACTGTTCAACAGCAGCATGACAATATACAGGACCTGAGCCCCTCATCTTCCAATTCTGATGCGATGGTGGCGGAATTGAAGGAGGTTCGGACGATACTGCAGGATCTTCACAAGAGGATGGACCGACTGGAGCGATCTCTTCAAGCGACGTCTTCGTCATCTGAATCTGGACCGCAAAAGGACAAATCATCGTCTCCCGTTACAAGACGACGCGGGATTCTGTCGATCATCAAGGTGATGGCTACACCGCGGCGAGGAGGACTTTTCCGGGTAGCGATGTTTATGTTGTTTGTCGGACTTATTGTGTTTGGTAGACGAAAGTGGACTCGGAGGGGAATGCGGTCGTCGTTGAGGGTGGACTGGGCAACTGCTAAGCAGTTGGCGCGCTCTCGACTGGGTTTTCTTGAGCGCCATGTCTCTCGTCTGCGACTTCATTAGTTGTTTATTCACTCCAAATAAATGTCTTTGCTGTTGAACGTGACTTGCAGGCAGTTGAGAAAGGAGACATATGCAATTGAAGGAGAGGGCCGTCTCCTAACTGTAGCACAATTGCTCCTTCTTTCAATTGGAAGGCGCACAGGCCATGCAACATCGGCGAGAAGAAGTGATACTGTGGCGTCACACGTGAAGGGGGGAAGGGGGTTCAAGGCACCTCCTTGACAAAGGGATAATTTACACATCTTACTTCGACCTCCTTGACCTTCTCTAACTGCGCATATTTTATCCCGACATGGATGCGATGCCTCATGGCATCTCTTATCCGGACACACCACCTCTCGACTCGCCATCGACCACCCCCACCTTCTTCTGAGTATCCTTACTACCACCATTCACACTCCCATTCACGCCACTTCGCTCACCGACAGGAACTAAAACGAGAACAAAACGAGCAAGGACAGGAGTACCGCAGAGAAATGCAAAGCATACCTACATATCATGACCCTCGCGGACATATCTCACCCATGGTAGGGCAAGATGCACTCCCCTACAGGTCCCACAACATACTTATGACCCCATTACTCAGCAAATACTAACTAAACGAGCGCATTTTTGTTGTTTGGTTAGATTGCCCGCCATGTTGGAAGTAACGAGCTTCTCAGGACAGGCAGCAATTGCGGTAGTAGTGGCGGCAGTGGCCGCCACCAAGGATCAACGATAGACCCAGGATTTGATAACGTTACAGCAACTCATGGCTTGCAGTTTGCTGTGCCCCCAGTTACCCGAGGACTATTTGCCGCCAACCATGGTACTGCCGTCACCGGCGCACAAATGTATGCTCTTAACAGGACAGGAGTATCACCACCAATAACGAGTTCCTACGACCTTTCGAGCGGCGTCAACAATGGCAGTGGGGGGAGTGCGATACCGGACCCGGGCATTGTCAACATCACCCCCCCCTCCAACAAAATACGTATCCCGGTAAGTGCAGTCAAGGCACTGCCATCGTCAACATCCTCGCCTAGTGGCTCCTCAGGACAGAGTAGTAGCAGTCATGTCTTCAAACCTACCTCAGCCACTACCGGCGGTAGTAGTCGTGATCGAGGCGTGATCCGTACAACACTGTCATCCACCGGTACAAGCGCCTCCGGAGGAGGCGATCAAGTCAGGCGGAAGTCGAGTCCAGGAAAAACGACACAGCAACAACAGCACCAGCAACAACAACCCAAGGACCGACAATCATTCCACGCGACTCTAATTGACCTCTTTGCGCGGGACAAAAAAGCCCTCCTCTGCCCCAAGTGCCATCAAGAAGGCAACATCCACCGTGACGGGATCTCTGGTAAGATGCAGCGCAGCAATTCACACATCTTTTGTTCTTCGGAATTTGATCCGCACACTGCTTATCGTTAACAAAATGAACTTTTTTCTTTGGATATGTGACATAGAGGGTAAGATGCGGTTCACCTGTAACACAATGGTCCCTGCAGTAGCAGCAGCATCGATCGGGAAACGGCGGAAATGTAATAAGCATTTTTATGAGCGGGCTATACACACTATGCTGATCGAGATTGTTCGCAGGAAGCGGTATGGAGCCCTGGCGGTGGTAAGTGGGATATCGACGTCGGTGGAAGTCTCGGATCTGGAGGGTGGGTTTTGTACGGACATGTCGTCTGCGTCTCCTGAGATAACGCCTTGGCACCACCCTTTGTTGGCTGGAGGATCTGCGTTCTGAGGAGCAACTTGGCAGCCACCTCTACCACCACCGACACCGCCTTTACAATCGTCGATGGTGAAAACGACGGCAGTTGTGCAAGGGGTGGGATTAAATTAGAGGTGGGGCGGATAGCTATTGAATGCCATATATCAATATAGAAATACTCCCGCGCCATTTTTTTTTTGTTCCTACTCACGTCGCGATATTAGTCAAACGCGTAACTTTGTTCGATCAGTAAACGAATGCGCACATCTGTCAGGTCAGCACTAAGAAAAAGCAAAAAGAAAAAAAGACTGCCACTTAAGGGTGGCTGCACGAATTCCACAGGGTGTTACGCAACATTGTTGTAGGGGTCGAGGAACACTTGTGTTAAAGTGGAGAAAGAGGAACGCACCATTCTCTTCTTTCTCTCCTCACACAGACTCCATTTTCGACAACGTTTTCAGAACATAGCATCCACGCACCAGCTACCGCACCTCACAGCACACAACAGCATACATTACAAGAAGCCATGTCGGATACAGGAAATTGGTGTCTCATCGAAAGTGACCCTGGTAACCAATTCAAACACACTGCATGACCACAAGTCTTGAATCACCTCAGGACAATAGAAAAGCCATACTGGGTCCAGCAGAGAGAGACAATGGGCACTCTTTATGCAAAGTACAAATAATATCTTATGGTCTAACAACAAATCTCTTCGTCCATGAACTAAAATAGGCGTGTTCACAGGATTGATCAAGGACATTGGCGTACAGGGTGTGCAGGTGGAGGAGATCTATTCCATCGACAAGGAGACACTTGAAGACCTCAAGTACGTTCACCAGCAAAGCATTGGGACTATGATACCGCTGATATCTATTCGACAAACTGACAGCATGAACCCTTGTCTTTTGTCGTCAGGCGGAGACTAACATATTAGCGATATTGGGCATACTAACTTTTAGGCCGGTGCATGGACTGATTTTCTTGTTCAAGTGGCAAGGACGCGACCCGGCTTCGACGACCAACCAGGCCCCCATCGAGTATGAGAACCCGGACGTCTTCTTTGCACAGCAGGTACAAACAACACGATATCAGTGGCTCTTCTCGCTTTTGGCATGTGCAGGCAATGTACCAAATGAGCGGTCTAATTATTTATGTGGCCAAAGTACTAAATCATCTGGTATATCTTGTGAGGATAGGTGATCACGAATGCATGTGCGACACAGGCGATTTTGTCGATTTTGCTGAACTCGAGGACGATTGACCTTGGAGAGGAGTTGACCAACTTCAAGGCTTTTGTCTCTGACTTTCCGGCCGAGGTACATTTCCATTCCTCACATAACCCTGACGGTAAATTTGGATGAAAACATTCAGCACTGATAGCTAACACTCCTTTTATTGTCACCGGGAATAATGTTAGATCAAAGGACACGCAATCTCAAACTCGGATGTGATCCGCGCGGTCCACAATTCTTTCTCGCGCTCAGACCCTTTCATCAACGAAATGAGCGATCCCACCAGCAAGGAAAAAGAAGACCTGTTCCATTTCATCGCCTACACACCCATCAACGGATGTCTCTACGAACTCGACGGCCTCCAAGAAGGACCCCGGAACCACGGTCCGGCACCTGGAGACAGCTGGCTCGAAAAGGTCGGTCCCATCATTCAGGAACGTATGGCCCGCTATGAGGGTGGCGAGATCCGGTTCAACCTGATGGCAGTTGTGGATGATCGGATTAAGGTTTACCAGGAAAAGGTTGCCGCCCATGAGGAGCAATTGAAGGCATTACAGGAGAAGGAAGGGCCCGAGGCCGGGGCATGGTTGAAGGGAGAGATTGAGAATTTGAGAGGGGATATTGTGAAGGAGGAAGGGAAACGGGAGAAACAGGCGAGGGAGAATAAGTTGAGACGACATAATTTCATCCCGTTGATTTATGAGATCTTGAAGGGGTTGGCGCAGGAGGAGGGGAGGTTGGAGGGGTTGGTAGAGGAAGGGCGGACGAGGGCCAAGGCGGAGGCTGAGAGTACTAAACAGAGAAAGGCTGCCTCTGCTGCTGCCGGTGGCGGAAGCGAGGATGTTGATATGTATGAATAAACTTGGTTCATGGTCCTAAGCAAGACAACTGGGTCAGCGTTGAAGGGCAATTAAAACGAGGACTCTTGGCTTTTCGAAAGTTGTTTTGGGGTGTGTTTTTATTGTTGATCAAAAAAAAGGGTAGCAGAACAATGAACGCGAAAGAGAGGGAAAAGGGATGTCGACACGTATCTGGTGTAGGCGCATCACAGATACCAATCATCGCCTACCACAAGCCTACAGGCACTGCTTCTCATCACGGAGCGCTTTACCCTTCTGTACGCAATCCAGATCGTTATCCTCATCGTCGTCAGTAATGGTCGATGTGCACATCCTGGTTTTGTGGTTGTAATATCAATCCCCCGGTATCTCGTGTTCGATTCATCGAATTTGGGGGTATAGAGTGGACACTTGCTCGCTTGGGCCTTGATGTGGATCTCGGCGACTGGAGCCGCTTGGACGTTGTGAGGTGTGGAGAGGATGGTGACGCTCAGGGAGCAGGTGAAGGCGAGGGCGAGGCGAGGGATGCTGCCCTGCTCCCGCTTTCCCCTTTGCTCAATCATCTCTCTCCTCTCTCAAACTTCACCAAGGGCACGAGCACCGCTATATTTTGTTTTGAGTTCACTAAGTGTATGGTTTGATGTACGCTTATCACGCTTACCCAACCCATAGAAAAAAATACTCTCTGTTGACTTGCCTACACGGATCGTGAACAGTGATTTGCTTGTCAGGTGCTGCAACACACACCAACTAAATTATGGGAAAATAAAACAGGAATGGAGGCACTGAAATTCATAGAATCTATTCGCCCTTTTTTTTATTTGTTTGAACTTTGGAGGGCCAAAAAAACTTGAGTTTGGTGAACCATAAAAGAAACGGAACGGAAAAATATCATAAAAAACGGCTAGTCCGACGGTTAGGACAAGGGCAGAACACCTTTCTATGATCCAATGTTCAATGCGAAGCGTTTTAATCCCCCCCTCCTTCCTCCCAAAAAAAACTCAGGAGCAAGAAACAATTGACTGTTTCACATTTTCGATGGGCCAAAAAAATCGCGACGCGTTTGTTCAAATAAGGGGCGAAGCGAAAGCATATCACAAAATATAAAAAAAAAAAAAAAGATGTGTGCGCACGCGAAACTACCATCGACCACATCCTTATTTTATTGCTGTTTGCGCTGGGGGAATGCCGCAAAGGCAACGGTCACTGCTGAAGAACAGACCACAATATTAAACATCATCCACAGGGCCCTCTTGCGGTGCAGCTTTACAATCGATGACTCCAACGTCCTCCTGAATCGCACCACTCTCTTATCCTCCGCACTAGAAAAAGGTCAACGTGCATATTAGTATTAGTATATTCGAAAAATGATAAATGCCTGTGACAGGAACAGAGAAAACGCAAGAGATATGGCTTACATTTTGCCGACGAGTCCGAGGATGGGTGAAAACTTGGTGAGGCCGGTGGCAAGGAAGACCGAACCAGGGTATCCTCCAACAATACCAACAACCCAAACCCAAGGGCTCCTCCACCCACCCCACGCCATCATCACCAGAGTGATCTGAACGGCCACAACAACAGCCCACAGGGCAGCTCCAAGCCAAATCTGCCCATGTCGCTTGATCCTGTTGTTGATATGACTTTCATGCAGCAGCCCAAGGTTCTGGGCCTTGACATACTCCAAAAATAATGGATAATAATGCTCTCGAAGCACAACGTCCACCACAAAGTTCTTGGCTGGTCCAAAGAGATGGGGGGCATCGGTCCGACCTTCCTGCTGGACTTGTGAATGGATCCGCTGCCTACAATCCAAGGGTAGGTAGAACGCAGCCGCAATGGCCGAAGCTGCTACATTGGATGATCCGGCAATCGAAGATCGAGGGACATCTTTCGCTGTTGATGTTGTGGCCATGCCCTGTGCTAATGCCGGTGCTGGTGTTGGCGTTTGGGGTGACGCGACGGTTACCGGTGTAAGCGCATCAGTTGAGACCAACGGCGCCAACGAACGCCGCGTGGTGTCAATCGAAGGTCGAGCGAAGAGAGACTGGAGGGGGATGGCAGAGTCGTGTGTGCCTGTCTCAGAAACAGCCCGGTCTCCTGCAAGCGAGCCATTCGCAGTATTGGTGTAGTTCTCGTCCGTGACGTTCGATGGCGAGGCAGGTTCATAGCTCTGGTACTTCTTGAACAGGGGTTCCGGTGCTTTGATATCCAATTGCAAGACATTCTTGGTCTCCGTAGTCCTGCGCTGAATTGCCTCCATGTCATCATCCTCTTCCTGCTCATCGTCGCTGTCGTATTCATCGTCTTCTTCATCACCACTCCCATCCGTCTCGTAGTCATAGCCCTCCTCAACAGTCGTCATGTTGATGGTTAGGGTCGGCAACTCCACCACCGTTGTCTCAGTTCTCAACAGCCTGGACAAAAACGCCGTGATACCAGTGCTGGTCGTCTCTCGCTTCAAGTTGGGTCGCTTTGCGCTATTTGGTGTGTGCTCAGTATCCTGACTGTCGTTTCCTTGACTATCGTGGTCCAGAGGGCCTTTCTCCGAGGACCCTGGTAACTTGACACCACCGCCCAATGTTGTTGCTCCTGCTGTTCTGGTAGGGTCGTGGTCAATGCCGTGTCGGGGAGTAGAGGCTCCTCGTCCAGAAACACTCTTCCTGGCAGATGAACGCCTCGCTCTTCTAACGTTCGAGTCTCGCCGCCTCCATTTTTCGTTCCACTCTGAGATCACCTGCTCCGCGTAGCCGTCCCAACCAGGCGTAAATGATTTCTCGAGACTGTTCCGAATGGACGTCTCGACTGGATTGTTGCCAGAGACTTTCTTGGATGCTGCCGCCGCTGCTGCAGCTTCCTCCTCTGCTGCCATCGACATTGTCCGGAGCTGGATCAAGTACTTGCGATATATCCGTGAAACGGATTCTTCCAAATCCTCTACACTGATGGTTCTGAAACTCTGCGCAAGCATAGCCCTCCCATCGTGCGCCGTACTGTAAAAACTAGGAGCATAAGCGGACTCTCCTGAACGGCGGATCGCGAGTGGCGGTAACAACGAGCCATGTCCCCCTTCAAAGTTTGCAACAGAGGGTCTCCTCCCCAAGACAGGTTCGACGATCCTCAAGGACTGGACAGATGCCTGTGGCACAGACGCTGCCATCTCAGTCTGAGATTGACCAAGGCTGAAATGGATCGAATCCTCGACAGCTCGGGTAAGTTGGTCAATCTCTGCCTGAGCAGTATGTTCGGGCAACGCTGGTCGTGTGGGGTTCAGCGGGGATGATACAGCGGGTCGTTCCGACGGGCGATGGTGAATATGATCCTCCGTTGCAGAAGGTCGTCTCCCTACCAGCCTAGAGTTGCCGAATGCATCGATTGAGCCACGGGTTCGAATTCTGGGCACGCTGGGTGTAGAGGCTGAAGAGTCGCCACCTTCCTGCTCTGCGATAGGAAACTCGTCAAGAGAACAACGACTTTTTTCCAGCGATGTTCTCCTCCCACCTGCGCCAGTCAAAAGTCGATTGTAGGCGCCCATGGGTCGTTGTTCGGATCCTCGACGCTGAGCAAGAGAAGGGGGCATGGGTAGGAAGGGTGATGCAGAGTCCTGGAGCCCGTACCGTCGGGTCTCCAGAGGAAACGACAGGTGATCATTTAAGGGCAGCTGAAGGCTCGAGCGACTGGTGATGTATAGATTCGAGCTGTTCAGTCCTTGAGCATCAGTTGTGTGGCCTTCTCCCAACATTCCTGCTCGCACGGTTCCTGGGTCGGGGGAGAAGCGGCCATTTTCAAATGCTGCATCCAGGGTCTGCCGCCGCCGATCTCGAGCAAAAGCCCGATCCTCTAATTGCAATTCCCGCTTGAATCTGCGCTCCGACACATCAAAGGTCCTACACAGTTGTTCATGCGCCGTGACGTCCTATATAGATAAAGTTACATGTAGCATTAACGGAGAAGGTCAGACCAAGAAGAAAGGTATATGTTGTGGTGTGTGGTGGAATATCATCGTACTGGAGACTATAAGGAAGTGAGCGTGAAGAATACAAGTTGCGTTGATTATGTGGATAATATCATCGATCCAGATACAATATGCACGACAGAACTTACTGTCCAAAAATTGAGGTATTCAACTGCACGCTGTCGTCTGAGAAAGGCCTCAAAGTCGTCATAGCTGAGAGGGTAACGAGTCCTTTTCTCAAGAACCTGGAAAAGATCTGGCAGATCATGTTTGTCGGTAAGGCCGTGATCGTACATGCCTGCATGGTTCTCTAGTTGTCTTTTCCTGGAAGGTCCTTTTCTCTTTCTTTTCCTGCGTCGACGAGCTGTTGTAGGAAGCGGGTCAACTGGTGAGGTCATATCATCGACTCTACGCTGATCATTTTGGAGGTATACTCGGGGCGGATGCAGAACTGGCACACTGAAGCTGGAGCTCTCTTGTCGGATGAGAGATAACGATGGGCGCCATCCTGACCGGCTCCGTCTGGGCTCCTGTCTCTCCTCATCCGAGATGTCGTTCTGCCCGGTAGGTTTGGTCTTTGCAGGCTGAGAAGATGACCCTTCGGGTGAATCCTGACTGTTCCGGTTTGGACGGTCCAACTCAAGACTTTTCCTCGAAAGGCCCTCTGCCGTGTTTTTGTAGTTGCTGTTAGAGTTGGCAATAGCAGATCTTCGACGACTGCCAAAGAATCCTTGAGTGGTAGACCGACGAGGTTTGTAAGGGATATCTTTTGAAGCGTGGTAGGAGTCGTCCGAGTCGGTCATTGGCTCGGGAGAATCGACACGAACAGAGCTCTCCCAGGACTCTTGATGGCTCTGAGACAGTTGGGTGGTCGATCCTCGATGGGGGTACGAGTCAAGTGAGCCACGCCCGACAAAGGCATGTGAAGAGGATGAAGGATGTGTTGGACTGTTCTGGCTGTTGTCGCTGGTAAGAGGAGACGCGGGTCTGTTCGCACGAGGGGTCAGTGAGAAGGGCCGTTGAGGGGGAGGAGGAAGAGGAGGGGGAGGTGAGAGAACAGAGGGGTGGTATTGGTCCTGAGGGTTCTGTGGGTATTCATGTTCATTCGTGTCACTGGGGAATCCGACAGTTGAGGAAGGACCGAGAGGAGAGGAAGGAGAAGGCGGTTGTTGTTCATGGCGATGGTGATGACTATGGAGGGAATGGGAGGAGAAGGAGACTGATAGACCTAGGGAGGTGCTGTTGTTGCTGCTACTACCAGCATGCCTTTGTGACGAGTAAGGGTGGTTTGTATCGCCACTGTTATCGTTGTGTTTGCGTTGGTACTGGGGTCGGTGGTGGTGACGCGAGTGCAGCGGAGACGAGGCGGCAGAGGAAGAGCCTTTGCGGGTGTAAGTGGAGGGTACCGCAGTGGCGACCTGTGAGGCAGAGGAGTGGGGTCGGGGAATAAGGGCTTCCTCTGCAGGTGTGAGGGCGAACTTTGGCATGCCTTGGAATCCAGCTCCGTCCATTGTGGTCAGAGGGGTGAAGGGGATGTCAGAGAATGAAGGTGTTGATGTAGGAGTAGAGATGAGGAGGAGTAGGAGTAAAAGGAAAAAGGTGAAGGTGATGGGAATGATGACGAGAGAGTGAGAGAAGAAAAGGAAGGTGGAAGGGGGTCAAGAGGAAGGAGACAAAGAGGAAAAGGGGAGGCGGGGAAATGAAGTGGTGGCAATATGTAATAGGGAGGAAATGGATTCTAGGTTCGTTGGATAAGGGCAAGGCAGGAGCGACAGTAGTAGGCTCACACAGACCTCTCGTTTCTTTTTGTGCCTTTTTTTGCTCTCAACGGATTGACAGGGTTGGAAGAGAGAGAACACAAAAGAAGGAATGAAAAAGGGGCGGGAGTGTGCTGTTAACATTCGACTACTCATCTTGGTGCTTCAACCCTTCCCATGAACCAACTGGCTCCTGGGAATGATAGAGTGGGAGGCAAGGTCGCCAAAAAAAAAAAACATCGTACGAAGGTACGAAGACCCAATTTATCATACTCAACCCCATGAGACCATGATACACCGAATGATTTCACAGACCCCTCTGATGATGCACAACCCTGGAGAGCATATCTCTTGTGCCCTGGCCACCGTTGCTTGTGTGCTGCGTGTGTTGTGCGCGTCGTATTTGGTCTGTGTCGGTGTACCTTTCTCCACGCAAAAAAAATTGGTGCTGAACAGATTGAGATGTCGCTGTGGTTGATGTGTAAATGCATATTGTGGTGAGATGTATTACTGAAAAAAAAGAAATAATAACTCGTTGTCTGTCGTTCCTGTCTATGATCGCGTCCTGTCCTGATATATACTCGATGCTCATGATCTTCCATGCATCCTTATGCCTTCTGAACCTGGTGCAAGGTACCGTCCTTCTCACGAATGAATGTGCCCTGTTTGTTGCAAATAATTAGAAAATAGCAGTTAGGTAATCGGATCATCGGTCGTCAGACATTAACAATAAGACAACATGTATGCATGATCCACCGAGGCGGAAGAAAGCATAGAAAAAAGCAATGTATCCCTTAGGAAACGAATGCCTAAACACACTTGAACATAGCAAAACAAGGAAAGCAAAGAAGTGACGAACCTTGTTGTTCTTGGAGGTGTCCTGGAAGGCAAACTTGAAGCGAGGGTTGGCCTCGGCAGAGTTCCTGCTAACGGCCTTGGTCGGTGCAGCCTCAACCTGGGGGATGCCCTTGATCGAGTCCACAAGCTTGAAGGGCTTCTGACGCTCCTCTTCCAACATACGGCTCTTGATCTCTGCCAGGGGGCGACGCTTCAACACCTTGGCAGCATCCTCGGCCGTGAACGTCTTGTCTTCATCCACAGCCTCGAACTTAGGACTGCCAACCTGGGGCAGGATATCGACCAAGGGTTCCGTGATTGCCTCGGATCTGACAGCCTTGACACCCATGAGCTGCTCCATGCCCTTGGTAAAGTTCTCCTGAGCGACGAATCCGTCGGCGATCATCTCTTTCTCCAGGTGCTTCATCCTCAAGATTGCCTCGACACGCTTGATCGAGATGTTGTATGTCGTACCGAGCTGACGGGGGGTGTGCTTTGTGCTGTCCGCTCGGTGCAGCTTGTAGATCTCTTCCTTTGCAGCGTTCGAAATAGGTGGCGTCGGCTTGAACAATGGGTTCATTGGGAACGGCTAATTCATAATAAGAGCAGACAACTTATTGTATCAGTATACAATGCGTTTTTCTGTTTTCCTGTTCTGTGGTGTTCAAATATCTTCCGGGATTATAGCATAGATCGCGTGAGAGAATATTGTTCCAGAAAATAAAAACGTACAGTCTCGCCGATGTAGTTGGGTCCAGAGAAGGAAGGAGTTGCAAAGCGAGCACCTTCGGTGCGGAGCCACTTGTTGAAGTTTCTCCGTCTGAAGGGAAGCTTCTGCTCGACAGGAGCCACGGCCTCTGCCTCGGCCTCAGCAGCAGCAGCAGGAGTAGTGGCGTCTGTTGATTCCTTGGAGTCGGTGAATTGGGCGCGGGAGGAGTGGAAGAGTCTGTGTGAGGAGATGGCGGATGCGCCTGTGAGAGGAGCTCTGAGTGCGCTGGCAGACCACAGTGCCTTGACGGAGAGCGAAGCAGCCATGGTTTGGTGAATGTGAAGAGAAAGGAGTGAGGAGCGGTGGAGTTCAATGCAATCGTCAAAAGTGAGGGGCAGGGCAACACAACCTCCGGTTGTTGTCTCTCTAGTTGAAGCTAAGCCGCACAAAACAAGGATTCGATCTCTTCCTTGGCTCTTGATCAGAGGATTTAATTATGCGATGAAGAGTAATACCTGGCGTGACTAGCCGAATTTTGGCCTTTCTGGTGTTGCTACGCCTGGCGCTGCTCAGCCCAATTCACTTTACACGTGACTGATTGGTAATGAGCTTGAGAAAAAGAAAAAACAGTGCAGGATAAAATGGACGCTCGTCTCCATCTCTCCTCTTGCCTCCACACATCACTTCCGCTCCACGCCAGTTACCATACATCCCTCTGTCGGTAGCGCATCAACAAAGGACTCTTCAGGACACCTCAGGGCACACACTTAATACACACTTACTTAGGACATATAAGTCGTGCATACTCAGGACAAGAACAGATCACACACACCAACCAATCACATAACATACATCAACCATGGCAGACTCATCACCAACAACAACGACAACAGCAACACCTAACGTCCCCTTCTTCAAGAAGCGTGCACCCAAAAACGTTCGCAAGCGCAATCTCTCCGACGACGAAGACACTCATACCTCCACTGCCTCAGAACCCTCAAACCTCAACCACACCTCCCTCTCCTCAGTCTCCAAGAAACGCAACGCCAAACGAGGACCTCAAACATCCCACGCTGACATCCTCCAGTCTTCCTCCACCAGCAGTGCCAACCGTCTAGCTTCAAAAGACGAAGATACCGACAAGACTGTCGGCGTTGCATACAAGGCAACGTTGGAGGGCAATATCCGGCTTGACGATGCGACCAGGACACAGGAGATTGATACTGCCCATGACCGGGATGCGCAGGCCGTGATTGATCGTCATATGAGGGCTGTCGAGAATGGGCTTGATGAATCGACCGGGGACGATGGGCTCTATAAGGGTATGGCTGGATACAAGTCGCATATTCAGAAAGGAGAAGTCTCCAACTCCAAAATCAGGTATGTTCCTTCGACTTGTTGATGTTTTCGCTGCAAATCGCAATTAATTACCGGAAATGGAGTGTATGACAAGCCTGCATCAGAAAGAAGGAGAGGAATTCGTTATTCATGGCCTACTCTAGAATATTTTTTTGCGGCAGGAGTGAAAATATGCAGGACTTGATGAAAAGAAGCTGAGGAAATATGTATCAGTATTTCACCTTGAAACACCTTTGGGCAGGTTTGGACATGCAACGGATCACTAATCACTGCCTCTCCTTTTGCCATCTTATATCTTTCGTTAATAGAGTGGGACCAATGCGCGCATCAGCTAACATCCGTGTGACAAACAGATTCGACTACCAGCCAGACATTTGCAAGGATTACAAAGAGACCGGATTCTGTGGTTATGGTGACTCATGTATCTACATGCACGACCGTGGTGACTACAAGGCTGGATGGCAATTGGATCAGGAATGGGAGGCTGAACAACGAGCCAAGAAGGCTGCCCTGATCGAAGGTCTGGATCCCGAGGCTGAGAGTTCCAGTGATGACGACGATGATGTCCCATTTGCCTGTCTCTTATGCCGTGAACCCTTCATCCACCCTGTCGTCACCAAGTACGTATTTCTCTTACTTCTGTTTTGTAGAAGGTCATGCTATTTCCAATTTTTTCAGCGCTGAACTCGACCAACGTACTGACATGTCCTCAATTTGCCTGCATGAATGGAATTAGGTGCAACCACTACTTCTGCGAAAAGTGCGCATTGAAGAGGTACGCCAAGACGCCCAAATGTGCAGCCTGTCAGACACCCACCGGAGGACTCTTCAACTCCGTTCCCAAGGACTTCTTGAAAAAAGTTGCTGAGCGGAAAGCCAAGATTGAGGATGCTGCGCGGAGGCGTGCCGAGGATGATGCTGCCAACTCTGCTGCAACTGGTGGTGCAGGTGGTCAGGGTGAAGAGGAGGGTGACTCTGGAATGGTCGAGGATCTTAGTGTTGTCGGCATGGGCGGTGCTCCTATTGGCGCCAGCGATGATAATGATGATGATGACAGCGACTAGAGTTGCTGTAAACCAATAAATGGAATAGCATTCGACATTATTTTTTGTTCGTACATTATTTTTTGTTCGTACATTATTTTTTGTTCGTATCATTCACAGGAAGCAGTCTCATTGCGATTAGCCCAACTTCAACACCAACTAGACATGACCTCGACGGGAGAGCTTCGCCCATTCTATTTTCTTCGCCTCCGTGGAAGATGAAGGTTTTAGTTACTGATTGATTTTTTTGTTTCTTTTCCCTGCCTTTGAATAACTGTTTTGGTGGCGCATCATTACGATTGAAAAATAAAAAGATGTTATGTAGAAAAGAGTATTTACTGTATATACGCAAGGGGGAAAAAGAGGAAAGTTGGTATGATGGCTTGTCCAGGACACAGACAGTAGCGCCGTTGGTGCTGTAGAAACTAGTCTAGGGACCAACGGAGGAACCAGTAAATGGGACGACAATAGTCGACCTTTTTAATGTGGTAAGAAATGTATCCGTGGCAGGTTCCAGTATGCTCGGCGTCGGTAAGGACATAGGTGCCATGGGTATTCACATTAAAGAACGCCAAGACTTCTTTCAGGACTCCCTTCTTACAGTTGATCTGGGCGCTGAAACCAAAGGAAGTTCTGAGAGATTCGTGCAAATCGTCAAGATCGGCGGGCTTACCGGGGTGGAAACCGGCTACAGCAATTGGGATGTACCGTCTGCGCAAGGTGTGAACAGATTCTGACCCTATATACTAATAAAATATTAAAAATAAACACCTCTCTCCTCCCTTCAACTTTTCTTTTTTTTTCTTTATGACCTATCATCCCCAACCAGTACAACCAGATAGCATGACTGACATGCAACTTGCCACCGAGTTCATGGCATCCTAATACAAGACTTGGCTGTCGTTAAATAGACCCCGATGTAACAGAGCGCTACAGTCAAGACGCCTATCTGACCTATGACTGGAAACATGTGAATCAACAACCAAGTCACTATCCACATCCCACTCCACACTTTCTTATCTCCCATTATGTTTTTCAGTCAGTCTAGGGCAGTGATAGCGATTTTCTGATTGCCGAGAATAGCACGGTCAAGCTTGGTGCCGATCTTATCACAACCTTTTCCAACGCCATCATCTCGAGGTGCACCGGTTCAGACTTTTATATTCCAAACCAAATCTTGATCACACGTCGTGAGTCCTTGATGATGCTTGCACTGTGACCCTGGTGCTTTGCTAGTGAATCCTTTCCACCTCTTTTCATCTTATTCATTTCCTTTTTTCCTGCCCTCGTTTTTTATATCTTGGCGCGTACTCATTGATCGCATCTTCTCATTTCTTTTAGTACTTTCTTTTCCACTTTCAGCGCTGGGGAATTTTCTTTGTATGTATCACAAGGGGAGGGGGAAATAAATAAAAAAGGCCGACCTAACCTTGCAAGCATAAATACTCCTCACCTACCCTCTCGTTTCTTCCTTCCTCTTCTCCTCTTTTTGCCCTTTTTGCCCTCACCACACCCGTCGACTCTCTTCTCTTTTTCTCTTTCTCTCCCTCTTTCTCTCTTTCTCTCTTTCTCCTCTCAAAACATGTCTATGCTAATGTCGCCTGCGTTGCCAGTTGAGTAATTGCAGGTTGAAGAATATGCAAAATATGTACTTTGTGATGTCAATCGTCTTAGCGGCCACCCTAGATGAGATCATGAGGTCAATGAGATTCTCGTAGTGAACCATGGTTTACTATAGACCTGAGAGTCTACGAGTTGGTGCATGAGCTCCAGGAGGACACTGTCTAAATTACAAGAGGATTTGTTCGACTTGGAGCTACAGTCAAGACCGGCGCCTTGCAGCACAGATAGTACATTTGTCAGCCCCCCGGCCTCCACCTTAACAATGAGAGAGAGAGAGAGAGTTTCGCACATTCCAGAGATTAGAGGCTTATGTGGTCAGTCAAATGGAGGTCGTGGATTGAACGTTTCGCTAAAATCGCTCATCATAGACCGTTCAAACACACCGGACTGCTTCCTTGAAGTACGGATCCATGGGGACTAAATAGTTCGCCACAGCCTTGGAAACGAAAGGCTCGTTCAGCGTGACCACGAAAGATCTTAATCCGACCAAATGTGCGCTCTACCAACTAAGGCTCTGCATGTTTGAGCACAAACTGTCTACTCCAAAGAGAAGGTTACAAACCCCTACCACCCCGCCCTTTAGCAAATTAAACAAGAGACATGCCGTCCCGGTTGGGGTGCAATTTATCCAATTTATTCAGCTATGTACGACATGGAAATGCTTGATGTCCTGCAACTTGGAGAGTCAGACGGCGATAAACACTACATCTTTCTCCTCTTAAAGCTTTTCGCTCTCAGACTGGTCACTGCACGTTGCTTCAGGGGAGCTTTGATCATGTTGAGGAAGTCAATGTGACTCTGCGGGAAGATCTTGCCAATGTTGTCTTTGTCAATTATGACTGTGACCTGTTTCAGACACTTGTGCTTGGGGTCAGGTCGGGGACGAATATCGCACACGGAGTCAGGTCGAGGACGCAGATTGTACGCGGGGTTAGGTCGAGGACGCAAATTGGTCACCACTTTCGCCGGGTACGCAATGATCATGCTGATGTATGTGTTGTCCGTGGGGCAGAGGCTAACGAGGTTCTTCACCTGGGCCTCAATCGCAGGAGCAGACACCGCCTTGAAGACTGTCTTGGCAGCTGGTTTTGCCATTGCCAGGCGCAGTTTGAGCTGAACAAAGACTGGGAACAATTGCTCATTGACCCGAATGTAGAAAACGATGTCAGGGCCCAAAGGATTGTCATTGGGGAAGAAGAACGGAGGGACGGCGCAGCCATTACGCATCGAGGCGTTGTGGACGTGGGCATGCATGAAGCTTTTCATCGAGATGTACTGGTGAGAGATCCCGCGCTGGAATCCCTGTTCGTCCAGACCGACAATCACAGCAGTTCCGGCGAGTTTCGCACTCTGTGAGAGAATCGAAGGTTCATGTGGCCAATCCGATAGGGTGCCAGTTTTGAAAGTCTCAATAAAGACGCTCAGCATCAAGAGTTTCCATGCCTCTGCGTGCCCTTCAGTATTGTTCCACATCATGGCCAACAATTTCGTGGTGTACGTAAAGCCAGGATCTCGTATCTTGAAGAAGTTCTCGGCAGCCTTCAGCACGAACGGCTCATCGAGAACCGTCCTCGCAACCCCACCAATAATCTTGATACGGCCTAAAGAACGTTCCACCAACTCTGGCTCCGCCTTCATAAGGACCAGTCTGTCATTTCCAAACACGTACCGTTGAAAGAGGAGTCGGCTCAGCACCTCTTTCACGTTTCGAAGTTCCCCGAACGTCGACATATTCACATGGCACTTGTAATCAAGGTGTCTGATCTCATTGCAGATATTCCCTTGCACCGAACGGAAGTCGTACGACACCAGTCTCGCCTCCGTGTCATCCACCGCATCCTTCCAGCCGCCAGGTTCGCCACTCGCAATAATCCTCTCAACCACGGTCACAATTGGTCGAAAACGACCGACAAGCCTTTCCATCATCATGTCGATGGCCTCTGATGGCAGGAGCCTGTCCAATGCTTGTTTAGCATCATCTGTTGGCAACAGGTCTCGCAGGCCGGCCACGTAGGCCTCGATAGATTCACGTCCAGTCCAGCCAGGGAACTCCATGTGCTCAAATCCGTCCAGATTGCCAGTGAGGGGTCCTGTTGCCTTGTTGACCGATCCAGAGCTTCGCGCCCAGTCCAGCGTGTACATGCTGAGCCCAGTACCACATGTGATGAGTGTAAGGTGGTCCTCCCCAACACTCCGAAATCCGTGCAAAACAGGAGATAATAGTGGACGACTAGGTTTCTCTGGAGACATCGATTCGAAGCGCCCATTATTCGTATCGCCCAGGATCTGTGCCTCATCGTGGACGACCATTAGCTTGTCCCTCTCCTGAAATGCGGGAAGGCCTCCATGATTTCCATGTTGGACGAGGAGGTGTTTTGTCGCCTGGAGTTCTTCTTGGACAACCGTCATGAGATCCAGCTCCGTTAAGGACGTCTGGTCCCGTGGGAGGAGCGGGAGAAACTTCCGGAATAACTGGCCAAAAACGTCGTTGTTGAATACGTGAGGACAGGTCTGGAGGATAGTCCATCTTGCGCTGGTAAATGCCTGTCCAGCATCCGGAATCGTCAAGCAGTACTGGAGGGTCATAAGCCGAGTGAGGAAGATCAGGTATGTCACCGTTCTTGCTTGACGGTTATTGGCTTCTCGATCCTCCTGCAGACGCAACTCCATGTGACCTATCAGCGTGGTAATGTCGTCCGACCCCAAGTCGTCCCCAGCAGCGTTGAAATAGAAACCCCAGCGCCGTGACAGTAGTTCGATCATGCCGCGAGTTTTCCCGCATCCGCTGACGCCGAAAATTGGTACGGTGGAGGTGGAGCATCTTTCGATGAACTTCAAAATGGCGCCCGATGTGGGATACCGGGACTGTGTGTCGTTCGAAGAGGGGTCAGGTAGACCCGAAAAGAGTAGACTCGGGTGCGTGTCAGCAGGTCGGCCCTTCCTGCGAAGCCAGACGATCGGTAAACCAGAGACGGCTCCTGTTGTGAGCGGTAGGTTCTCCTGGCCTTGCACAAAGAGGTCGAGAAACTTGGTGACATCTGATCCAGGTGCGAAGAACTTGTCGGTGATTCTTTTGATGTCCGCTTTGAGGCCGCCTAGGTTAAGGCGGTCTTCGGTTGGGGTACTGTGAAGCATTGGTGAAAGTGAGGGTTGAGGAGAGAGGGCAAGGAGTGAAAGAAGAAAAAAATAGAAAGGAAAGGGGAAATGAGGATTGTAAAGAAAGTGAGGGTTGAGAGAGAGGGCAAGGAGTGAAAGAAGAAGAAAAAAAGGAGGAAGATGTGGGGTTAAAAGGAAAAGTAAGAAGGGGCGAAAAGGGCGTGGGAGAGGCGCAAAGGCAAGTCAAAATTCATGTTCATTCTCGTTGCCACTCCTGTTGTTGTTCATCGCTACGTCATCTATCTTCCACTTTGTTTTTCTTTTGTTCTGGTGAACTTGTATCGCGTACATTCATGCTCGAGAACATTCCATTGTCGAATGACGTTGACGACCTCAAAGACGCAATCGTACGCAGGAAATCCAACGAGTTCTGCAATGTTAATGCAAACAATCTCACCTTCTGTCGTGTCTCCATTCATGACGACGGAACCATTCGCGACAAGACGGAGCTGAACAACCCTAGAGCACTCCTTTCCACGCTGTTTGCCGCGAGTCCCGACTACAACACCTACATCATCGTCCAGCGACCTACTCCAGGCTACTGAACGCGCTTTGCTCTTATTCATACCTTGCGCATGAGCTTGTTCCTCTTGCTAACCTCAATTCGCGCGTCCTATTGCACTAACATAGTTCTTAAACCTGTCCCAGCTCGCGGTTCCATTCCTCTCTCGGATGAGCGTCCTGGTATTCCGCTATCTGGTGAGTACAATCAAATCACCTTTGCACGCATCGCAATGAACATTCTGTGTCTAATGCCCGTTCCCTTTTTTTATTCTAATCAGGTGACCTCGGTGCTGACATCGAAAGGATCGCAAACAAGTTTCTTGAACGATTTGTGCAAGGTCATGAACAGCTTCAGCTTACTACTGGGATAGTGCCTGGTTTGCCAAGAGTGTGGCTTCGGAAACATCCACAGTGAGATGATGCACGACCTAGTCTGCTCTTTTTCATTTACCTGACCCCTCTTCAAGCAGTGATCCGTCGAAGGGACTCGCGTCGGACGGGATTATCCCCGTCTTTGTGTAGCTTCAAATTCCGCAAAGTGTTTACGAAAGATGATTCAAATCGTGCTCTGGAGTCTGTCTTCAAACAAAAAGTCAAAGAGCATGTGAAGGACTTCGAGGAGTACTGTTCCGCCAATGTCTAAGTCAGCGTGATTATTGCGTACCCTGCCAAAATGATAGCTTCAATGCGTCCACGACCTGCTATCGACTTCGAAGCTATTACTGCCAGACATGCTTTCCTGCGTCCAAGACCAAGGAGGAACTTCCACGACAACGATCTGCAGCAGGTGACGATCAGGGTCGACCAATGCAACTTTGCCATGACTTTTCCAAAGAGCCATATCGACTTCATGGATGGGATTAAAACTCCGGTGAAGCGACCCGCCGTAGACAAACAGGAACAGGACGACCCCAAGAAGACAAAAATGGTCTAATTTAACCAACCGTCTTTTGAAGTCCATAGCAGTGATATCAATCTACTTCTACTATACAAGTACAAATACGAATCTTCTCCCTTCTCTCAGCAATGTGTCTCTTTCCCTCTCTTATTTTCTTTCTCGCATTGACCTTTTCTGACTCTTTTTTCATTATTTCTATGATATTCCTTCCCATACTCTCTCCATCTGCGCAAGGACCCATTTTTTTCTCCTTCCATCTTAGGCTCACTGGTAGTGGTATGGGTTAATTTCCTAATATAAAACTCAACACTGAAGTGATCTGATTGACTGGCGAAATGCGTTCAAAGGAGGAGACTGGTTAGAGGTATCCCCTCAGTGGTTTTGTCGACGAGAATAAAACATTACGCGTTCTTCCGACTCCTATCTGATCGCTGTGTTGGTTTGAGTGTTTATATTTTCTTTTTTTCTTTTTTTCTTTTTTCCAGTGCTCAAAGATCCAACGAACCTCGAGTCAGCCAATCATGTCTGTCGCCCTCCTCTGTGTTCGGATGCATCAACAAAAAACTCTCTCAGACTCCCACGCCGACAGCCACAGCAATGATAGTAACAGAAACGGCAGCGACTGACAACAAACAACCCTCTCCCCATATCCACATCCAGAAAATAGAGTTACGGTAATGCTTTGACCTGCAAAGTTTACTTCTTTTTATGTTTTTAAAATCTAAGATTATGATCATCTAGGACTAAGGAGATGCTTTATCGACAGTCAGCCATTACTACGGCTCAACTTTTGTCCAGAATGCTCAATTCATTTTCTGAATGATGTTGACCTTGTGGTATGGTGCACACACATGTGAGATTTAGCAGCCCATGGGCTTGGGGGAGATTCCACTATGAAACGCAATAACAAAGAATATCAAAGTTAGATCAAAACTCACCTTTTGGCAGAAAATCCAAAAAGTCAACAAGCAAACACGACCGATAACAGAAATCACCAAAGACTTACGTGCACTTGGTAGCAAGACCTCCAGTAATGGCAATCTTCTGGAAGTTGAAGTTGCTGCACTTGGCGCAGAGAATATACACGCTCTGTCTGTTCTTCTTGGCCATGCTACCGTGGATGTTGTACAAGTTGACATTGGTGATGGGGGCGGCACCGCCGGGGTTACCAGTAGCGCCTTCGTTGGTGTAGTCTTGCTGGATGATGATACCATAGTTGGTGATTCCGGACATGGTGATGTCCGAGTAGGTGACGTTGTTGACCTTGCCGCCGGTCGCGTTGGCGTAGGCCTTGATGCGGACCGCGTTCGCAGAGTTAACGACGGTGTTTCCCGTGATCGAGACACCATCAACAACAGATCCGGCTTTGATGGAACCCTGTTTGTGAAATTAAATAATAGGAATATTAGTCTACACACTTGTGATTCATGTTAGTATTGGCGAAAAGAACAAAAGAAGTGCTCATTTGAGAATGTACCACTTACGATCGAAATACCGTGACCACCCTCACAGTGGTTACCGTTAAAGACGATGTTGGTGCCACTGTTCAAGGCAAGACAGTCATCGTTGTTGTACACCTTGGCACCGGTGATGGTAACGTCCGAAGAGCGGCCGACATCGAAGGCGTCAGTGTTGTGGCCAAGAGCGTACTTGGGTCCACCTTTAGAAAAAGAAAGAGAAGGAAGAACGCACCAAATGTTAGATATATCCCTCTCGACTTGATTAAACACCGTCATCGCTCTACGTTGAAAAAGAAATAAACATGGGGCGTGATCCTTACGGTTGTCGATGGTGATGCCGGTGAGAGCAAGTCCATGGCAGCCGCTGACGGCGAAAGTGTGCACTGGAGAGTTAATGATGGTCAGACCAGTGATGGAGCCGCTCATCTTGTTGAGTCTGATAAACTTGGGCTTGTTGACGCCTCCGTTGCCTCCCTTGCCATCCCAGTAGAGCTGGTTTGTGACATTAATGAGTACAAATGTTAAATTAGGGTCAAAGAGATCATGTATTACGTTACACAATGAACGATGAGAAAGAAAAAACAACAAAACTTACTGGTCCGCTGCCGTTCAAGGTGCCACTGGTACCATCGATTTTGATGTTGGTACCACCAATGGTCACAAGGTCGTTACTCTTGTCCAGATTTCCCTTGGCGAAGGTAATGGTGCCGGCTAATGTCAAAGGTTAATTTGAATACAAGATTAGAATCGGGTGTTTTCTTTGGAGAGAACAATGACTATAACAAATCCCGGATGGTCATACTGATTTTGATTGTGGTTCCAGTCTTGAGTCCAGTGAGATCAATCTTCTTGTTGGCAGGCACGGTGAATGGGCCCTGAATGGTGATCGCGCTGCAGGCTTTGGTGCCAGCAATTTGATCGTAGGACGTGGCGACGCATCCGGAAAGACCCTGAACAGGTAGAGGGAGGAGAGGAAAATAACAATAGGCTGTAGTAAGTACACTAGTGTTCTCCAGTTGCCAAAGATTTCGATTCGCTATTTTCTCTATTCTCCACATACCTTGGTAGGAGCGGCCATGACAGCAGTAGCCGCGAAGGCGGAGATGATGAGCAAAAACTTCATAGTAAAGGAACTGTAGGTAGGTGGAGTGTAGGGGTTGATTGTTGCGATTCTGCTGTTGGAGTTGGTATTGAGAATTATGTTTTTTCCAACACGTCCAATGGCTACCTTTTATATCAGATGGGGGTTTGTAGGGCTGTCCGTCACCCGGTAATCTTTACTCGCTTAGAATGTGTTGGATATTGTTGTGTTTACCAAGGAACAACAAACAACTTCATAAATCGCGTCTGTGAGCCAACATATCTCTTCATAGGTAAGATATGTGTAGGATGCACACATTTCCCATGTCAATAACACTTATCTTTTCTGTCAACAAACAAACATATCATCATGTCAACGAACAAAGCTGTCGCGGCATGAGAAGCAGTCCCAAAGCAGCGAAAAGTGACGAAATGAAATAGCTGCGAGCGTATTGTCAGAAAGTCACCCACAACTTTCATGGACCAATAAGAACTTTGTCTGGCCACTATCCAGCAGACTCGGCTATGTGAGCTTTAGGAGGAACTGGACTGTAATTTCCCAAATGTACATCCCACCTACGTACAAGAAGAAAAAGAGCCCGATATTAATTTCCTTTTGCAACCCATTTGCGCCAACACGACCCGACTCCGTGGACATGCACCTCTCAATTTCTCTAATGTACCCTTCGTCCCTGGATTAAACAAACCTAGTCTCGCGGCCATCCCCTCCCTACGTGGGTTGGAATCCTGTTCTGAAGACTTCACACAGTGAGGGTCAGGGTCAGGGTTAAATTTGAAGTCAATAGCGGAGTGGGTCGTAAAACTAAAAAGGAAGGATCTTATGGGTTCCGCATGGACATGGTACAGTACGAGGAATTAAGTTGACCCTTTGATTGTAACACAAATGACGTTTCTAGTGAGAAAGCCATTTGTATGGCGCTAGTTGACCTTCCTTTTTTGTTTACGATCCGCTCTACTATTCACTCTAAATTTAACCCTGGCCCTGGACCTTCACTGAGGTCTTCGCTGCGCAAAGATTGAAAATTGGAACAGGATTCCAACTCACTTAGGGAGGGAATGGCCGCTAAAACTATCCTACTTTCCCTGTAACCCTCATAGCTATCACAATCCTGGGTATAATTTCCCAAGGAGCTGCATCAACTGCATGTTGCCATCCTTGAAGAATTAATTATAATCGTTTTCAATCTCAGACTCCGAATCCCGAAGGTCGCCACTATTCCTGCCCTCACGTGATGTCTTGACAATTGCAGGGTGGGCGCCAACCAGGCCCAGGTACTTTTCACAGGACAGGTACGTGGCCAAGATCGGTAGATAAGCCTTGAGCCTGGTCTCATGTACTGTCTCAGTCGAGCTTCCTCCACATCTCCAGGAAAGATATCGTTAAGGAGCTTGTTCTGGCAGCACATAGACGATACCCGGACCTGACGAAGACGACTCTGGATAGTAAAAAGGTCGTATCGTAGAGTCGCCTCTCCTTGAGCCATACTTGTACTGCAGCTCCAAAAAATCGCCCATGATCAAGGTCTCCTGTGAAAGGCGTAGATCAGGTCTGCATGCCGCTCAAAGATCTTTTCTTCAGATT